AAGAGCTTCCAAGGTTTAGACTTGCTGAACCATGTCCCCCTTGCATTCAGATTTACTTCTTTTGGTTGCCTTTGCTGAGTCGTTGGGGAGAGGCAATTTATAGTTAGACAGTGGCCTTGTATCTCAATCAAATTTCCAGTGGATGAATGAATTTTGCTTTATGTTTGAGGCCTAATCTGCCTCCCTTCCCAAGCAAATTAGTTGATGAGATGATTCTGCTGGGGTGGGGTGGGGGGAATGGTGATCACTGTGTGCTCCACCTAATCTTAAGACCCAAGAGGGTCTGTAGGAAAGTGGGTGGTCTTCTAGATACTGTATTTGGGGCTTAAGTCATTTAAGGCTTTAAACACCAATGTGAGCATTACAATTACCTGTGGTGTCCATTCTCAGTGGTGCACTCAGGGAAACACGTTGAGGCAGAGGTCCACAACTCCACTTGGGAGAATGAGTAAGAAAACCCCCAGATGTGGCAGGGGCGGCTTACCATATACCACATTTTGAAATAAGGAGATACACATTATCATCTAAAGTGAGGGTAGACAATGTGGTGCTCCCCCCGCATCTGTTTTCGTACTGCAACTCCCATAATCCTTGATCATTGGTCATGCTGTCTGTGGTCAATGGGAGTTGTAGCCCCGCAACATTTGGAAGGCTACAGGTTCCCCATGCCTAATGTACATGGTTCCACCCTCCAGATTTCTCTTCAACACACACATTTTTCATGAGGGTTTGGCTTAATCCCTTAATCTGCATCCACAGACGTAACCATCCATATTTAAGAACACAGAATTTAAAAAGCATCTGTTCATATTCATCTCATCCATTGCTACTGTTTTCTCTCTCCACCCCCCCCTTCCTGTTTAAATGGTAAGTACCACCCTGGGAGCAGTCAGCTGTTGTTTTCCTTACAAAATGCTATAAATCTCCATTATGTTATTCATGCGCATTATTATATGTGTTTGAGTTGGAAACTTAAATGTGTTCTGCACATGCTCAGAGGCATAGGTTTCTTTATTGCTTTAACAGTTCTGAGGCTAAACTCTCTTGCACTGGAAGTAAATCTCACATTAAGCCCTTGATATAGTTGCCTTCCTAACCACTACCGATTGGTATAGACAGATAAGAGTCCTTAAAGATTGCCAGGGATCAGGTTGAGCCAAAGTGATCAGAATGTACCACTGGGAACTGTTTGCGATGCCAGAGCTGAGGCCTGCATCAGCACTTTTGAAGCATATCTCTCCCACAAGGAATTATTGAAACCATAAGTGGTTAGAGGTGCTGGGAATTGTAGCCCTTTAGGGGGTAAAACTATGGTTCCCATGATTCTTTGAAGGAATGTTCTTTAAATGTGCCTTAAATGTAAGGTGGATGCAGACTCAGAGCAAAATTCTATTCCTGCTTACTCAGAAGTCCCAGTGGAGTCACATCTACACCATACATTTAAAGTATGTTTAAAGCACATGATTATTTGAGGGAAGCCATGTGCTTTTAATGTATGGTGGGTGTAACCTAAGTTACATGGGGCTTCCCCCCAATTATTTTCTTCAAAAATAAATCACCCTGGACATTTTATTGAAGGGTGGTGTTAAAATGCATTAGATAGATACGTGTGCATACAAGGGGCCATAGCTAATGTGTTGCATGCAGAAGATTCCAGGTTCAATCCCTGTTATCTCCAGATAGGACTGAGGGAGACTCTTGTTTGAAACCTTGGACAGAGCCATAGCTGTGGAGGTGGGGGGGGGGGAATAGCTGGGTCCCCCCACATGAAGCCTCCAGAGGGGCGTCACTGAGGCTCCCAGCCAAGGTAACATACACAAATGCATGTGGAGGGATGCCAAACTGGGTTTTTTGACCAGGGTGAAATAAAGCCTAGTTTTGCCCCTGCCTTGGAGATCAGCTCCCAATCAGAACAGACAATATCAAACTAGATGGACCAATGGTCTGAGCTGCTTCCTATGTTTATCTAAATTCCTAGGCTCCGAATGTGCTGACACCCTATTTTTCCTTCCAACCATATGTCTGTTGCATCTGGCTCTGGTTGAGAGATCTTGAAGTTCTAGTAAATAAATAAGTAAAGTAGATCTGACAGGCCCGAAGTCTGCCCATCCTTAAGTCTAGGAGAAAAGTGAGGATGCAAGCATTGTGAAACCTTATGGAGAACATCTTGGTGATGCAGCAGTGCAGCGCTGAGGGATTGGCCACTCTAGGACTTTCATGAAGCTGCTGCTTTATGGTAAAAACTTCAGAGGTATCTTAAAGGGCCATTTGTTGTCATTAGGCATAAGCAAAAGCAGAGAGAAAATTCTGCATGTGTGCTACTGACTGAGTAACAACTGAAGGTAACTGAAATTGACATTTTATCATGAGATAGATACTCAGCCACTGTTAACTCCTGTAGTCACTCTCAGCCTATTATTTTATTGGTTTGTTTTCTTACATTAACCTCCAACTTTCCCTCCAGCAGATCTCAGAAGAGCATAGTTTGCACAACACCATTTTGTCCTCACACCAACCCTCTGCAGTAGGTTAGGCTTCTTCTGCCGCCTAAGGCGACTGCTTTACTCTGCCTAATGGCAGGGCCAGCCCTGCTGCAACCTCAACTGTTAAGCGAGAGGGTTTATTGAGGCAGTTTCTTAACCACAGCGGGAGAAACCTTAAAACAAATAAATGCATTCTCTTGAATAACATGCTGTTACACTGCATAGAGTGGAATTTTGCCTCAAAAGAAAGTCCCACTTCAGTGGGATTTACTCTCGTGTAGATGTGTACATAGAAATGCAGCGCAAATTGTAAAGCAGATGCCTGCTTGACTACCTAGATACTTACAGAATAGATTTCAACTGGTTTGGGGAGGGCGAATGAGCAGGAATGTGTGTTTGTTTATGTGGTTTTGATTCCGTAGTGTGGTTTCCAAAGTAAAATTCCTTGATCATATGTGTCTGCGGGTGGGGGGAGGAGTGGGAGCGCGCTTGAAATAAAAAACAAGAACACTGCCTACGTTTTATTTATTTTCTCACCGACGTGCAAGAAGACGCCTTCCTTGCAGCAGTTTCTCCTTCCACAAACGTGGGTCTTCTTCTTATCCTATCCTTCGCCATACATTTTTATGGGGTGGAATTGGGGTGGGTGGCGGGAGGGATGGGGAAGAGCGCACGAGAAATGAAACAGGGTTTATCTGCAGCGAAGGGGGAAACGTGTATCAGACCATCTTAGAACGTCGTTAATAAAAAAAATTGTCCTTGGATGCAGAAGCCCATCGTGATAATTGTCTAATCTTGCTGAATGAAATCTTACGAATGGAGGATTCGGAATCTCAAAGCTCCCTGTCTTGTTCAGAATCACAACCAACATTCCATCCGCCCACCCTTCCAACCCCCCCCCTCCCCCGCGTCACAACCTACCCCCGGAATAATAGAACAGTTTCTTCCATCTATAATGGCTGCCTGGTCGTCCTCACCGCACCCTCCCCCTTCCTCGACTTGTGTAGTCTTCGATTCCTGCGCCATTTTGAGCTCCTACTCCCCTCCCCCCTCACTCCGATCTCCTAGAGTCCAACAACGCTCTCCTCCCCCCCCCCCCCGCCCTTCCTCTCCCGGATCTCAGTGTGTTACTTTGGCCCACAAATGCGACTTGAATGCCTCCCAAAATCCTGCCATGTTAGGGGAAATACCGGTGACTTAGCAGAGACGTAATATGATTTATTTGTGTATGTGTGTGTTAACATTGTGCATGTCACACTCACGGCCGGCGATCCCTCTTCTCTGACCGCTTGCCATTCGCAACCCAGCGAAGCTCGCCTCCGCCCCAAGCCACCCACTTTTAAGATGGGGTTTGGTTTAAAAAATAAAATAAAATTAGGGCTAAGAAATAAAGGTCCTTAGGAGTTGAAGAACCATAGGCACAACCAATCGTTAATTCCGAATCTAAAAGGCAGACAGAAGGAAAGAGATATTTTTTAAAATGTATTTTTAAGAAGGAAAGAGATTTAATCTCGTTCAAAACCTCTGTTTGCTCTCAGGTCTTTTATTTCGTCTGTGTACGTGGGGAGCTTGAATTAGTCGATTGAATAGCCTTCTCTGCATAGGAAATTTCCTGTTTTCACGTCTTAATTTTTTTTCTTCGTTCCTCTCTGCGTGTCCGTAAATTTTGAACATCCCTTTCTTCCACATTGCTAAAAATCTGGAGAACAGACGCCTGATTCTCCTCTCGAGGTGACGTGTAAAAACCATGGCAAAGAGATTCTAAAATCTCTGCGCCCACCTATTGAATTATTTCTTCTCTCTCTTTCTCTCCTTCCCCTTATTCCGAGACATTGCGGATAAGGGGCTTTTTCTGTTCTTTTTTTTTTTTACAACGGAGGGGTGACCTAATTTAGCAAAAAAAGGGGGCAACCTAGAAACCTTGGGCATTACTGATATTTTGTAATAATAATAATTGCAACAACAATAATAATCTTTTTGTTTGCAAATTGTGCCCCTTACTTTCCATTCCCTTTCTGGTTTATGCTGGGTCAGTTAACTAGATGCTTTTTAAATAAAAAATAGTCCTGCTCAGGGTGGTTCCCCCCCCCGCACCTCCCAAGAACAAATCATATATTAACACGCATCAGCTGAAATATTTCCAAAGTGAGGTGTCTTGTTGGTTGTTGTTTTTTAGCATTATAAATATTCTAAAGGATCTCTGCTGCGCATACTACATATTTTAAAATGTTAATAAAAAGAGAAAAGAAAGTAATTTTTTAAAAGTTTAGTACAGCTTTTTAAGCCTTTGAAAATATTTATACTCCTCAGCGGTTATCGCCACTAATTCTTGTTATGTAAACGAAGGCTAATAGAAATAAAACCCCAAAGAATTTAAAGGGAGGAAAACGAAATACAGTCTCCTGCTTTTTTTTTTTAAAGGTGAATGTAAAACAGGAATGCAGCGTTTAATACTATAAAGCCATTTATTTAATCTATGAAAATAATGTACAATAAATAATTTGCATTTTACTATTAAAGCATTTGAATAAATAATCTACCTCTAAAACATAAAAAGAAGGGACAAAACCTCCATCGCTCTTGTTCTTTTTTAATTTTTTCCTTCTTCCTATTTGTTCTTTAAATTAATAAATCTAAACGTCTTGCTTTGTTTCCTGAGAAGTTCACTTTTTTAAGAAAAATGGACAGACATTTTCTTCTTGAGTCGAGGATTTCTAACGCAAGCTTTCTGGGAAAGGGTGAAGGGAGCTTCTAAAGATATTTAAAAGGCCAGACTTCATTTTTCTCCTTTGATAAATATCTCCTTAAGCGTGGCACCCCTTTATTCTTGTCCGAATAAAAATATATATACGAGATAGAAATACCTGAATTCAGTCAGAACATAGATTCCTTTAAAAGAAAGTGGCATAAATATTTCTTAGGTTCGGGTCCACTAGAGACTCACAAACCTCTTTCGAAATAAATGCTTTTTCAATGGGGGGGGGGGGCTGTGATCAGGCGTGGGGTGGGGGAACGTACTTTCGGTTTCCATGGCATGGGGAGCTGTTGGTGTGTGCATGCCTGTGTATATTTATAGGGGCATATAACCCAAGGCAGATAAGGAATGTCGGAGGGTGTTTACTGGAAATTCAAATGTGGCAGATCGAGAGTACAAAGTGTGCTTGTAAAAAAGTCCAGATCTTCGACGGAGAAGCTGACAGGGCTGTCTAAGAACCCCTGGAAGCTGGGAGAAAGCCCTTCTGAGGTCTGTGGGCAGGAATCCACAGAGAAAATATTCAGGTCTGGTGGCAACAAAGGAGACTTCTGGCTTTCCAGGAAGGCATTGTCCAGGGAGGAAGAGGAAGAGGAGGAAGAGCGGGCGCCAGCTGTCCCATTTGGCTCTGCGTTGGGGGCGCTCTCCTCGGCGGGCGTCAGGTAGCCAGCGGGGGGCCTCGGCGGCTCTCTGCTGCTGCGGGCAGGGTAAGGACAAGGGATCTCCAGGACGTCTCCAAATGGAGAGCTGCCCTCCTCCTCTTCCTCCTCCTCCACCTCTTCGCTGCCTTGATCCAAGCTGGCGTCCCCCTCGGGGATTTCCTTATGCTGCGTTTGTCGCTTATGCTTCATCCGTCGGTTTTGGAACCAGACCTTCACTTGTCTTTCCGTCAGGTCCAGCAAAGCCGCGATCTCCACCCGGCGGGGTCTGCAGAGGTATTTGTTGAAATGGAACTCCTTCTCCAGCTCCAGCAGCTGCGTGTTGGTGTAAGCCGTCCTCAGCCGTCGAGAGCCGCTGCCGCTGTTGTCTAACAAACCCTGGACGTCTTGGACGCAGAAAGAAGAAGAAGACAGTTTTAAAAATGAAAACGAGACGAAATAAAGCCATTAAAAATAATAGCTGGGTGAAGAAGCGTTCCTCCTAAGTGGGGTCTGCCCACGTGCGCTTTTTTTTTTTAATTGAGACAAGGGCGTGCGTGGGAACCACTTGGAAATTATAGGGAAATTTTACAAAGTTGTATGCATCTCAGTCAAAAGTCTTACACACACACACACCCCTTACACATAAGTAACAGTGGAAACCAGCGCTGGGAAACTTCCTTAAGGTCCTGAAAAGAACAGAGTGCGGGGGCAGGGCAGGGGGAGGGGGGGAGGGATGGTGCATTTTTGGAGCGAGACTCAATGGGAAGAATTCCCCGCACGCTCACTCTGGGATGGAGAAATCAGTATTCAAGACACGCTTGTGGAAGACCAAGTCTCCCTAAGACATCTTCAAGCCTCTCCTCCATCGATTGCAAGAGACGACGTCAGTTTCCTGCCTTCCGTCTTCCCAATCTACCTTCTTGCCTAGGAAGGGGACCTTTCATAATGGGATGGCAAAGCCTTCTTAGCGGGGAATATAGGAAAGGGAACACACAAGGGGACGAGAGAGTGCGAAAGAACCGATGGGATCTTTCTTTATCCACACAGCCCGGAAAACAGGGGACCCAAGGAGCTAATACCGTGTCCCCCTCCCCACAACCTCGTTGCTTCTCTCCCAATGGAGTCCCAAGGATGTCCATCCCAACCACAAATCCAGGATGTATGCAGGTGGGGCGTGGGAGGGTGAGGACCCTGAAGGAAAGGAATGAGCTCCTTTCCTCCTAAGCTTGGTGGCTAGCTAGGTTGACCCCACCGCGATGCTGTCAGGGCATGGCTTGTAAAGCAGAGGTCCAGGCCCCCCGCTCAGCAGAAGGAGGCTTATCACATTTTGAAGTGAAGGCGTGCCATCTACCCCAACTATTAGACCATGTAGTCCAGAATTTACAATTTACGCAATTGCACCTCTTGAGATCCTACGGGACTTAACCGAGTTGGTGGGACAGAAATGTTGAAATGGAAGACTCTCGCATCTGCAGGGTAAATTGACAGGGTGCCCTGCAAATTACCAATCTATGGAATAGGGGTGGTTTAAAAAGGACTATATTCCTCGCTCCTTTCCTCTGATGTCTTCTTTCCAACCATATTTCTTCTACTCTTGACATAAAAACAGCTTATATAAAATATACCCCCTCCCCCCCCCAAAGCGAATTATATTCTGTATTGTCCACCGTTTTCCACTGGAAGCCAGAGCATAAACAAGGCGCCCAGAGGGCCAGAAATGAATACCAGTTCGGAGAAGCTGTGTGGATTTTTATTTTAACTTGTTCTAGAAATTTGCTAGAAGAGGATAAGAAAGAAATAGAGAGAAAGAGAAAGAGAGAGAGAATGATTCTCCCTGCTATTTCAATCATTTCTTCTGCTTGGAGTTGGTTTAGGATTAAGGGAGGCGAGAAGAGCATTGCCTCTGTTTCCCAGCAAAGAGCACATTTTAGATAGTAGGATTTTTGTCCTGTTCAGTCAACTCCGTCAGTCCCCCCCCCGACACCCCAATTTCCCCCCTTCGTCGTATACAGACCTGCAGGAGAACCCGCGGCAGATCCGGGCAAAGAGGAGGAGGAGGAGGAAGGAGAAGCAGCAGCAGCAGCAGCAGCAGCAGGGACCTGGCTGGCTTTCTTGAAGGATTTCTTCTCCTTCATCCAGGGGAATTCTCCTGCCAGGGAAGGAGGCTGGAGCGCGGGTCTCTGGGCCTGCCCATGTCTTGGTCTCTTTTGGCTCCTTGGCGTAGGCTGGTTGCTGGATGAAGGATCCAAGCCGAGGAGGGCTTGTTCTAAAGGAGGAGGAATTAACGTCGGTGGTTCCTTGATTGATGAAGTTTGAAATGTCTCCAGGACAGCGGGAAGGGACGTCAGACACTCCGCTAGCGATGGCTGGCTGTTTATGAAGCCTATCTCCCTCTCAAATTCAAAATTCATGGCTTTTTCCAGGGGCCCAGTGCAAAAAAAGGGAGGGGGAAAGAGGGGGGGGAACGCGGGTGGATGGGAGGGGAAGGAACGGTTGATCTTAAAGGCCCTTCCAATATTTTATATCGCTTTAGTATTAGTATTATTTGCAGTCTCCTCCCCCTCCCTCCCCCTTTTTTTAATTTTAAAAAATCTTATATTGCTGATAATACAGGCGTATGGGGACCTTGCTCTATTAAACTGACGAGCAGGGATAAATTGCAGCCAATCCTGGTCATGTGACCTGGCTCGCCCAATAGCAGGGCCAGCCCGGTTGAAAACAGAAAGTATTTTTATTTAATAGCTAATAATAATAACAATAATAACAACAATAAAAATAATGAGAATAAAAATAATGGCAGCTTACCTATCCTTGGGAGAATGCCACTGATTTTCCCTGTTTGCCAACAAATGCTAAGTGAGTGTTAAAGAAGATATTGCGAAAGGGCTGAGGAGGCAACTGTGGGGTTGATGGTGGTGGTTACAGTTTGCCTTATTGCCTCGTCTCTGTCTGGTTGATTGAATCGTTGATTTTAGTTCAGTCCAGGGGGGAGGAATTAGAAAAGAAGAGACAGACACCAGGGATGAAGTAAAAATCACCCAAGTAGAAGCCGAAAACTTATAATTTACAACCAGCCCAGCACTGAAACCCAAGGAAAGAAAAACGAGTGGATTTGCAAACTCGAATCTGTTTGGATTTGCATATATATATATATATATATATATATATATATATATATATAACACATTATAAACACTGCTGGAGAATATCAGGTTAGTGTGAAAGGATGTTGGAAAGACTTATTTCTAGAAGCTGTCCTCTTCTAAAACCTATGAGAGCAGTTGGGATTGAATAGGCGATAGTGGAAACAGTTGTTAATGAGTTTATTAGTCCAAAGTTTTCTTTAAAAGTAAGGGGGAACCTAATGTATCTCCCCACCCCGGCTCAGTTATATGCACCCAGAGACCATAAACTCAAGGAGTTAATTTTTTTAAAAAAAGTTAATAATATATAATCAGTCCTTTTTTAAAAAAAAGAAAGTTCCACGCAAACTGTGAGAGTAAAAGAGCAGAGAGTGAGCGGGAGAGAAAGAAACGATCAATCTTTCTCCACCAAAGACTTCTGACAGCCCGGGCTTCGCTAACGTCCTAAAGAATTTGGACGTTCATCAGAATTCCTAAGTGAAGATTTATTCATAGATTTGGGCCTGCTTGGTAAAGGTACAAAATCAGAAAGTTTGGAGTCTGGAGGGGGGAAAGTTGAAAGAGTGAGAAAGAGATAAAAACGAATCAAAAGGGAATTCTGAATGCTTCTTTGAGATTGTTTATTTAAGCTACATTTATCTCCTTCCACAGACTTTCTAGAAAGTAAGGCTAGGAAACTACACTGAGGAATGAAGAAAAGCTTGGCAACTTTTGTCCGCTCAAACATCTGTGTGGGTGGCATTGTACAAAAACCCTAAATCTGGAGGAAATTGAGGTTAAGGAAATGTGAGAACACCCCCAAAATCTATGCATGCAGATTCATGAAGTGCTCTGAAATTTACTGTAGTACTACTATGAGTCCCAGTTCTATCTGTTTTTGTTACAAACATTTGAGAACTGTGTTATCTGCTGCAATCAAGAAAGGAACATTAAGAAGGTGCTGGAAAGTACATTATTAAAAAAAACAAACATGTTTTGATGTGATTTGGTGGTCTTGCTGCTAGTAGTGGGAATATGGATGAAGTGCATTTTTTTGTTTCTGCTTTTCTCCCCATGCCCATTCCTTGCAAGATTTTGTGTAAAATGTGTGCAGTCAGGCTCATCCTATCACAGATTCTGCTGCTAGTAAAATAGTATGTTCCTATCTGAAGCATGCACAACCTTTCAGAGTAGTTTTATAACTTTTTTAATGCATAGTTCTCCCTAACACTCAAAGGAAGATAATAATAGTGTTCTAATACGTTTTACCAACATCTGTAAAACTTTGGAAAGATTCTATTCCTACCATAAGATTTTGTTCCATAATCTTAAAAAAGTGGAGAGCGCAGATGGTTTAAAATGGAGTGGACCACTTTTATTAGTTTACAAGGAGATTGGGGTGTGGTGAGAGAATATGGGGGAAACGGAGACAGGTTGTTTGAAATGCAATTACTTTTAAATGCTTGAGTTAAGCATACACAACCCACCACTGGAATTCTACTTTCTGTTCCATTTCCCAGGCCAAGAGCATCAGATTTCCACAGGAAATCCATCTGACTAATCAGATTTCACTTGGCTGCATTTGCACTGCCAATCCTTCAATGCTGTCAATTGCTGACATCAGTTAAATGCCCTGAATGCTTCGGTCCATATGGGCTTCACCCACAGCATCACAGCGTAATGGGTTTTGTAGTCTTGCAGCTTTCTAAATGGACTGCAGACTACATGCACAAATGTTTCAGACATAGACATAAAGATGGATTGGTACCATGTGGTTAAAATACCACAAGCACTTGCCCTTTGCACGTGTCAGTTTTGTGAATGAGAACGAACATGGTTTGGATTGAAGGGTTTATTGTGAGGGTTTGTTTTTTAAGGAATGCACAAATACTGCAAGTGTAGTGATGACTTGGCTGCAAAAATTCATATACAGATGGGTACAGTGGATTCACTCAAAGCATTGCTTTTGGAATGGCAATTCTAGTGTGTGTCCCCCCTCACACACATATTATTGACTCTGTTTTAATAGTCAAGTTTTGAGGTGAATCCTGGCGTATTCTTTTTCAGTGGAACCCAGAATCCATCTGAAGAACATATCAGAAAAAAAAATGTACAAGACTGCATGTGTGGGAGGGGGTACTTCAAACTGCAGATGTATTGCTGTGACATGACCTTACCTATGCATTCCCAAAAGCAGAGGCCTATTAGAACCTGGTGATAAATTAAACCTCAATTAAACTGGAGGTATTGGAACTTCATGTTGCAATCCTATACCACTGACCTGGGTATAAGCCACATTTAACTCATGGGACTTAGTTCTGAGTAGAAATGTATAGGACTGCACTGCTAAAGAGCTATTTCCAATGTATGTATGTTTTTAAGAGGCTTCCTGATTTGATGCATTCCCTAGTCAAGCGTGCTTTGAGAACATGTGTCTCTCCCAAGCAAAATACTTTTGAGAAATGAAAACAAACCTCATACTTACAGCGTATTAAAGCCAAATCAATTTGATTTTAGTGGAATTCCCTTTATTTGGTGGTAGTAGCAGCACTACTACAAAACAAAAATGAGTGCTGTTACTTCTTTAAATTTATTTATGGAGATAGTGTGCAAGGAACTGGGCCCTTTGGCTGGCACTACACAAACTTATTTTTAAACTATTTGAGGAAACCTTTTCACACAGGACTGAATAACAAAGATGCCAATATTTTGGCTCAGTTATATCATCCATAAAATCACATTCAGGGGAATGGGAGGAGGCGGCGGCATTACATTCTTGACTATTGTTGTTTGATCAGGTCCCAATCAAAGTTTCCACGCTCTTATGCTTTTAAATTATAGCATCAGATAATATTAAATTACTTATTGCATGGATGAACATAACCCAGCTACAGTCATGAACACAGGGGAAAGAGTGTTTCAGATTTTTTTTCTAACTAAACTGTTATTTATTATTGGTTCAAGGCTAAAATTATCAGTTGAAACTTAATATACGAAACCAAACATAAAACAAAATTAAAATAATCTTTCTTACAAAGCCCTCTGGCCTGAAGTTCTTGCCTGTCCGTGGATTCAATCTATCCATTAACTAAATGTAGGGCTACAGACCAACAATAGTTGTATGGAAGGAGAATATTCATTACACATGTGTTGCAATCCACACCCTCCCTTTCTCTAAGGTGGTCCTATTAAAGTTGATAGAACTGCTTGGGGTTTTGTTAGTTGGTATTTGTAAACACAATGAAACTCACCTATGGCATACTACCACAGCAACTTACACCAGATAACCATGGACATAGAACAATATCCAATCATGTAGAAACAATTATTTCTAGACCCAGAAGCAATTACTCTAATGTAATCCTATAGACTTCAGTGAATAGTTTAGACACTGCATCCAGAAATCTCCATGTCTGTGACCTGATTAATATACTTTGTACTCTGGGTCTAGTCTTAAACAGCATCTGAAACATGCACAATAAAGAGCAAACATGACAGCAGCCACTGGTGAAGTGTTTTCCCCTATAAGGGATCCACGCATACCTCATCACATATAACCATGCTTACCATGTGAGTTACCCTGTTGAGATGTAAAGCAAATGTTCCAGCAATTGGTGCTAATTCTACACATAAACCGGCCAACTAACATGGCAGGTGCATTTATATGTGATGGAACACATGGCCAAGGATAGTCATATGGGGAAGGGCCATAGCACAGTGGCAGAGCATCTGCCTTGCATGCAGAACCTCCCTGGTTCAATCCCCAGCATATCCAGGTGGGGACATCTGGCTAAAACCCTGGAGAGCCACTGCCACTCAGTATAGACAATGCTGAGCTAGATGGAACAATGGGTTGACTCAGAATAAGGCAGGTTCCTTTGTACTTATGACCACCGTAGCATCTATTTTGACCCTAGGTAAAGCTGAACTATGCAAACAACTTGGTTCCTTCCCACAATGTCCCTTCCCACAAGCAGCTTTCAGAGGTGGTTAGAAGTGCTGAAAAGGAGCCCTGGTGATAATCCAGTCCATATGATTCCAAATTACAGAAATGACCTCTGCATCTTAAAGTTAGGATACATGGAAAACATCTCACCACCACAATAGCAACATATGGATCAGGGCTATGACCATGACAGAAGGGACCGTGGCTTAGTGGTAGGGGCTTCATATTCCTTCCATAATCCCTGACATTGTGAACTAACAGTATTTCAGACAGCAGAACTGGAAAAAGGCCTCTCACAAGGTTTGGAGAGGTGCTACCAGTCAGGAAGCCCGTACTGGGCTGGATAGTCTGTGAGTAAATGTGCATTATATATATCCTGCACAAACCTGGTACCACTTTGATAAAACAGGATATGAAAAATCCACAATATCCAATTTATGTCAATATCCAATTATTTCCTAGGGCAGGGATAAGGTACCTGTGGCCTTCCAAATGTTGTGGACTGATAGGAGTTAGCATGAGTGATGGTCAGGGCTGATGGGAACAATATTAGGACCACAAGTTCCCCATTATACCAGAGCAGCAAATGTATATCACAGAAGCACCAAAATGGTCAGTACCATCTATTAGACCAGCAACCTCCTGTGCCTAAAGAACTTATCTTCACTTGGGTTTCTGGTATAAGTGTAACGCTGCATGGATAGGTCAACCCAAATCCTCAGCAACTGGAGGTCATAGGCCTTGGACAAGTCCCCCTAATTTCTGAAACCCACCACATTGTCCGAATTGCATTTCAGTTCCAAGTCTCCACATCACAAACCCAACTCCAGGGGTTCCAGAAATGAGTGTGCTTCCTCACTCCCCAACCGGGCAGAGTAGAGTCAGGAATCAATCCTCCTTCCTCTTATACAAAGGAAGCCTCCCTTAAGCAAATGGCAAAGACTCATTCAAGGTGGGGAGGTAGAAAGAACGTGAGGGCACCAAGGGAATGAGTGACTTTCCTTCTGTACAGCACCGAGCACAGTGTTTTTCATGGAATAAAGGAGGAGTGGTGGTGGTGGTGGGAGCTGCCGGAGAAGGAGCAGTAACAGGGCTGGTCGTCGTAGCAGTAGGAGTAGGTAGCAGACCTTCTTCGCAGTCAGAGAATGGCGGAATCTCTTCCCAAGCCCTGTCCCGAGCTCTCTCTTCCACAAAGCTCGCATTTCGACCTGAATCGCTCTTACAGGCACATAAACGTGACGTTCTAATTTGACAGGCCGTTTACATTCGGTTTCCAACATCATAAAAGTTTTATGGAAACGCGCTGCTTGTAAAAATAAGTTTTCTTAAGGGTTGAGAGCATAAAATACAAAATAGCAGAGCCTTTATCTTATCTCTGTCGCTGTGGCACGTTCCCCTCCCCCCTCTCTTTCCACGGCTGCTGCAGCATCTGCCTTCAACTCCTTTCTTGTTTTATTTAGCGATTTAATTTCACGATAGGTCCCCCCCCCCGCACACACACACACGCGCGCTCTTAATTTCAGCCAGATAGCCCCGTGTGTGCCTTTTGTTATGATTAATCATTTTCCTTTGTTTTCATTTTAGGCCCAATGGCTGTTTAGTCTGGACGGCACGTGATCGGACCTCTTTGTATCCACAAAAGATGAGGGGTAATTTTAATTGGCGTGAGACTATTTAGAACAAGATTTTCAAAGTGGAAGGGAAAACAGGGCGGGGGGGGAGAGAGAGAGACGAGGCGGAGATCGGGGGAGCTGGAGAAGAAATGAACCCCCTAGCGATTAACTTTTTAAGTAAACACAATCATCCAGGAGAAAGTGCTCGGATTTTATAAGCTGTAAAAATAAAGCAGCGACAGTCATAACCTAAGGGAGAAGCGGGAGAGAAGGAAATAGATAAATGTCTTTCTCGTTAATGTCTGAAAAAATTAGAAATGAAACGTGTTGTTCTCTTTTCCACCCCCCCTCCCCTATCTGACAGCTCCAAAGCTTTTTTTCTTCTTCTTCTGCCTGTTTTCAAACCCGACCAATGGAACAAGAGCCAATTAAGAACAGAAAGTTTATTCAAGAATTGTTCAACAGACAACCCTTAAGGAAATAAATAAAGTTATCTACTGTAAAGAACAAAGAAAGATGTTTCAAAAAAGAGGAGGAGGGCGTGGTGGTGGAGGAGGAAGAGGAGAAAGGAAGGAAGGGTTTAGCTAGTTCTTCTAACTGAGGACTATACAATTACAGCCTGGCTCGGATTTCATGCCTCCAGTAGAACTAAACACATTATTTTAAGTACGAAGGTAACTACTGGCTTTTCCCTAAATTACAATAACTAAAAAAAGAAAGAGAAAAGGAAAAAACTGGTTGTACAATGACAAGGAAAAAACACCATATTCCTTTATAACAAGTAAATACTAAAAAAAAAAGTACATATTTTTCTTATAAATACATAAATGTTGGGGATAAATAATACAAAACCAACAAAAGGGAAAAAAATAGTTTAAAACTGGCTATAACCAATAAATATATAATATATATATATTTATATATATGAATGTTCACCGGAACACGCGCACACACCCCATTGAAAGACGTCTCCAATGGGTGTCCTTCAAAAAGTTGGTATATATACCCATTAAAATGTAAACTCTAAGTGCAAGAAGGATGCCAGGCCAAAGAGGAAGCGCCAGGAAACACGCCCCCTCCCCAAAGGGCCATTTCCTTCCGCTTCCGTTTGGAGGACATAACAGTTTCTGCTCAAATATACCCTGTTTTCACGTTCAAGAAAAGAGACGCAAAGGAACGCAAGACGCCTTAGAGGTGAGGCTCCCCCGACCCATAGCGAACCCCAAAGAAACGGGGGGAGGCCACCACTTCGCAAGGATGTAAGGAAGGTCTCTCTATTTTTTTTTTCTTCATCATGTCGCCCCCTTGTACATTTTGCACAAAAAAACCCTGTTTTCTTTTTCAAGCCCAGTTTTGCTGTATAAATTAGTTTGCAAAAGGGCACCTCGCTTTTCTCTCTCTCCCCCTCCCCCAGCCCTTGGCGGAGGTAGTGGGGATTCAAGGAGAGGAGCATAGGTAGCTCTAAAGAATTGGCAAGGGTGGTGTTTTTAGATAATGGGGCTGTAGGGTGGGCGGAGGAAAGGGGTCAGGGGGGAGGAGAGCCAGCTTAGGAGGGAAAATTCAACAGTTTGTATGTGGTGGAGATGAGTAGGGACTGGAAGACTTCAGGAAGGCCGTTTCCCACTTAACGTCTTAGACTTTTTCTTTTCAAAGAAACCCTTTTGCGGTTAGCTGTGGATTGGGGGGCGGAAGCGACTTCTTTTAAGAAGCATTGGTGTATTCACGATCTACTACGACCACAATTTGTTGTGCATGTTATATGCTTTCTTTCTTTCTTTCTTTTTTACCCTTAAATAAAAGGAAAGAAATTAAACTATCTGTTTCGTTTGATTCTTCCATTCCTCCCCGCCCCCGCAAAATAAAAAAATAAAAATCAGCCCCATTTTTTTCTACATTCAAAATATTTGTGTCGAAACCCCAGGACCAAAATTAGTTGAAAATGCAAATTGAGAATGGATGTATTGACTTCAGGAATTGTCCATTTATTTGTCAGGTTTTGAAAAGTGTATTGTAAGTGGGGGTTAAATTCACTGGTGAGCCCCCCCCCCGCAAGTTCATTGCTGAATGTAAACTGGCCTTGCTGTCTGATATCTATGGATCTAAATGTGTACCTGATTGTCTCTACAACACCTACTTAGTAGTCTAAGATTGTAGATAAATGCATTTCTCTCTCCCCCCATGGGTTTTTATTACAATTTGTGGTGCAATCCTACATACACCTACTCAGAATTCCCAGTGAATTCAATGATATTTACTTCCAGGTAAGCATATACTGTATAAGAGAGCTGCCTAAATGGTGTTTAGGTCTGGGAAGAGTATTCTTATGGACACAACGCCAAAAAGGAGCAGAAAGTCTGTGAGTTCCATTTCCATGATCTGCAGCAGCATTCTGCCCCCATTGTGTCCATCAACTCCCAACGATTTCAATAAGTGTTATTGCCAAAGCAAACGCTTTGAGGACTGACATCTGTAGGATAATCTTGAGCAACCTATTTTAATCAGTTTCATCTGTGTTAAAGGAAAGGCGCTACATCAATTTATACCAATAAATTATTCTGCCGGCTTTTTTATGGTCTGCCTAGGGCATATACACAAGGCCACACATTTTTCATTGGGAGTAACTGGCAGTGACAACATTTGGTATCGTCACTCCACCCACCGATGATCCTGAAAGGGGGAGGGGGAGGCGAGTTCTTTGCCACCCGGGGAGTTACACACCAAAGGGTGGTTTCAAGAGGTGGGCTTGGAGCCCTGGTTTTGTGGCATGCAGGACTCAGTCTTGGGGTTGCTCTGCGGGGGGTGGTGTGGTGTGAAAGTTTGCTACTGTTGCTTGGCTACAAGCCTTATAAACACACACACACAACCATAAATGCTCTAGCTTGGAAGTCTTGCTGGTCTCAGTGGAACGTCTTTCCAACTGAGGATGCTTAAAATGTAGATTTACTTGGGAGCAGTAAGAGTAATTCTACAGTAAAAGAACTAGGTGGGAGAACTACACCACTTCAAACTGCATATGAGGAATTTCATTTTAAAATGCTCCCTCATTTAAGATAGATACACTCCCTGTATGTAGAAATCTAGCACGTCAGGAATATGTGCTAGTTCACTGCAGGCAGGGTTTTGTTTTAAACTTTGTTTGGGGGAGCAGGAGCATTTAATAAAAATGATCCACACCCCCCCTGCAGTTTGAAAAGCTACTGTCCAGAACCCTGTCACCTCAGTCTACCCACTGAAGAAAGAAGATTCCTCCCTGAGAAACCTCGCTGAGTTCACAACATTCGATTTAAGTGATGGCCATCAGCTGGACTTAATTGAAACTAGGGTCCTTTAAGGCCCAGTCAAGGGATCTGCTCCCCCCCCTTTCCCCCCTTTTTAACACGAGGGCTCACATTCGAAAGTTGCCAAGGACTTTGTGCTGTATGTGCAGAGTGCATTTTCTCCCACCCCCAGGAAACACAAGCCCCTCCTCCACGCACCCCAGTTCTGAGGATGGGATTGGCCGAAAGCTTCCCAAATCAAATGACGTGACCGGCAGGCGAGCTGCTTGCCCCTAGAAAGCCAACGCCCCCCCCCCCATGAACACCGACTCCCGCCTGCTCCTCTTGCAGGGTGTGGGGGACAACAGTAGGCTGGGGCAGAAGGAAGGAAGAGGCAGGAGGTAACCCTTCCGATTTGCAGGGCGCATCTAAAGGGTTTCAACACAAATACTTTTTGTTTGTTTGTTCCTTTAAGATAGAGCGAGAGCTCACCAACACAACCAACAAACCGATCCACCCCACCCAGCCACCCCCGCCACGTCCCAGTTGTCTGTTAACTCCCACCCCCCACCCGATCTGGCCCCTCCTCATCACAGATGGGTCAGTTTGGGCGCCTCTTGGATTCTACCCTGAGTCGAAGCGTGGTGGGTGGAAAGGTCTGTGTAAGTCGGGTGGGACTCGCAAGGTCCATGGTGCTGGTTGGAGCCCATTTGAGGGGGGCCCCCGTTGTACTCCATGCTGGCTGGCTGGTGATGCTGGAGGGGGTTCAGCCCGTAAAGCGACGGGGCGGAGTTGGGCATGGAGTCCACGTAGTTCCCGCCCACGTACACGGGGCTGCCTTGCATATTGGGGGGCCCGTATCCGCCTCCCCCATTACCCTGTAAGACGTGCGGGTCGTACTCCGGCGGCGCCGTGTTGGCGTACTTCTGTTGGGTGGGGCAGCTTTTGATGGGGTTTTGGTAGGCAGTGGGCATGGCGTAGGCATTCTGGTGGGGTTTGCTGAAGGAGGGCGGAGACGGGGCGTCGTAGTTCGAGGTCATGGGGTGCAGGGCGCCCAGGAAGCCCGCCGAGGACTGCATGGCTTGCGGGGGGCTCCCCGTCGGGGATGGGCCCCCGGATGAAGAGCCCAAACCTTTCGACTTCTGATCCTTCTTGTACTTCATTCTCCGGTTCTGGAACCAGATCTTGATCTGCCTCTCGCTGAGGTTCAACAAGTTTGCCATCTCCACCCGTCGGGGCCGGCACAGGTATCGGTTGAAATGGAATTCCTTCTCCAGCTCGACGAGCTGGGCGCTGGTGTAGGCCGTGCGGGCTCTCTTGGAAGCCGAGTTGCCCGGAGGGCTTTTCTCGCCGCTGCAGCTTTCTGGAGAGGAGGTCGGGAAATGAAATCAGAGATAATTACTTACATGCAGAAAATTGAATGCACAGGCCTCTTAATAAATCCTCCAACAGGCGAGAAGACTTGCAGCCTCCCCTCCTCCTTCCATTTCCCCCACTCCATAATCATGTCATTTATTAAGAGTTCTGTTCTCCAAAGCTGCCCCCTCGCTTTATGAAAATTTGATCATGTCATGCAGAAAAGGAATCCGAGGCTATTTATTTGGGAGTCGATTATTTTGAAGCAGACCCTTTCAAAGGAAATTACGCCTGGCAAGTGGGCAGTGTTTGGAAAGCAAAATTAATCAGGTGCTCCTGTACACAGGCCTGCAGTGTCAGTGTCCTTGTTATTCTGCGTGATTTAAACAAGCCCACAAAGGCACATGCGCCCTTCTACATACGTGTGTAAAGCACAAATGTCAGTATATGCTTACCAATAAGCTTCTCTATCTCTCTTACACACACACACACACACACACACACACACACTATGCTCAGTCTAGTGGGCAGGTCTCTGGTGCAAGCTTTCTTTCACTGCAATGGAGGTCTGTGAACTGCCTGCTGGGTTGTGCTCCGTGTGTTCCTACAACCAAAACTGAAATTTGGAACCTCTTTCCTACGCCAAACATTGGATAAATAACAGAGTGCCTCTGAGCATGTGCAGAGGGCCTTTTTCCATCACTAACTAAAACCAACTTCTACACATCAGAGTTGGGGGGATTAAAAGCTTTCAGGGGCAGGATTCATCCTTTTCATATAGACCAGAATCCCAATACATCTCCTTTTTAAAAGGGAAACGCATTCCTGGGAGGGGGGAGTTTTGCATCTGAGTCCACTGCTGTGGATTGCAGCCTAACTGAAGGAAGTAAAATCAAGTGTAAATCAGTGGAGCACAGGCCTAGTTCAATGTAGTGGTAGAGTCTTGATGTAATGCAACTACATCAAGTTTTGCAACTGCAGACTGCAGTTTGGAGTGCCATTTATGGTTAATTGCCTTCAAGGAAACTCACTACAGTGGTGCCTCGGTTTAAGAACTTAATTCGTTCCGGAGGTCCATTCTTAACCTGGAACTGTTCTTAACCTGAGGTACTACTTTAGCTAATGGGGCCTCCCACTGCCGCTGCGCAATTTCTGTTCTCATCCTGAAGCAAAGTTCTTAACCCAAGGTACTATTTCTGGGTTAGCAGAATCTGTAACCTGAAGCGTCTGTAACCTGAAGCGTCTGTAACCCGAGGTACCACTGTACAGGAAAAAAATGTGTTGAAGGTTCTAGCCCATTCTGCCCATTACTATGCTAGTTCTTGGCATGCATGAAGATTATGTAAGCAAACAGTTGCAAAAAAAATGTACAAAAATCACACATTTTCTGAAGTAGGGCAGTCCATTTTACTACCTCAGAAGTACCACCTCATTCTACTGCATGTGTACTTTTCAACTTTTTTGAGAGAGAACTGCATATAAGATAAATATACCCAAAGATGTCTGTATCTGTTATTTATGTGTGTGTGTGCCTGTACCTCTAAGATATATCTACATGCATGTATTGTGGTTCATTGCTCATTTAGCAACTTAGGTCTGTATTGACTACATGATGTTTGTGACATTCACAGGACTATAAATGTGGGATGCATTATTACTAGAGCAGTCAAGTACAACATTTCCCTGTTGCCTAGAATGGACTCACAGGGGAATGTGGCTCCAGACAGGGAGGACTTCCTGTCATACCTGCTCTGGAGCTTCCTCCCCCTGTGTGTGACCAGGTAGATGGGCATGACCCTAGCTGACCAGATTAAAGGGCTGGTCACACAACCATCTCTCTCTTGGACTCTTACTTTCTTACTCTAGGACTCTCACTCTCCTGGCTCTTAGCCAGCGCATGACTCAAACGTCACATAGGATGTAGCCCACAAGCAGAAAGTCTGAGATGTAGCTCAGACTTCTTTTTACTGTAACCACAAGATAAAGCCTGCCTTCAGATTACTGCTGTGAACTGGATGTGAGTAAAACTTTATTCTTACTTTTAAAGAAGACTGTATTGTGTTGTTATTATTTTAAAAGGGAAATAAAGGAGACACATACCAGAAACAAGCCAGACTTGACGAGCCAGACTGGACTGCTTAATTAAAAGATTCTAACAAATCATCAACTGGCTTCTAATAAGTTGCAAAGGGAATGTTCTCTGCTGTTTATTCGCTAGCATGATTGTAATATCAAAACAATATATCCTCTCCTACCTTCCTTAACATTCCCACAGTAAAGAATGCTAACAACTTTTTGAACATTGAGAAGAAATGTGGAAATGTAATATTTTAAGGGATATGTTTTGTAAGTGGCAGAAAGATTCTTCTATCTCTTACAGTGATACCTCAGGTTACAGACGCTTCAGGTTACAGACTCTGCTAACCCAGGGTCTGCTAACCCAGGGTCTGCTAACCTCGGGTTAAGAACTTTGCTTCAGGATGAGAACAGAAATCGTGCGGCGGCAGCAGGAGACCCTATTAGCTAAAGTGGTACCTCAGGTTAAGAACAGTTTCAGGTTAAGAACGGACCTCCAGAACGAATTAAGTTCTTAACCCGAGGTACCACTGTACTCGGAAGGGGAACAGTAGAAGCTGGGAGAAATTCATGTGTTCATCATCCAGTGATTGCAACATGGTGTATGAAACAATCTTTGTAGATCAGAAGCTGGGATTTCATATAATCTCATCAAAGGTATTTCCTTAAGAAATGTGTTTTCACATTCAGGAGTAAGGCATGCAGTGATGCGTTATCAACTGGTGTGCATGCATGTGGGAATCAGTGAAACTTCGAATGCACTGTGATTTTAAAGAAAGTGGGCTGGATCCACACAAAGTTAGTTGCACATAGAATGCAATCCTAAACTGGCCTACTCAGAAGAAAACCCTATTGAATTAAATGGGGCTTACTCCAAGGTAAGTGTGGTTAGTATTGCAGTCTTAGTTCTCATTGAAATCAATGGGAGAAGGTACTCACAAGTTACCAAGCTCTTATTGATTTCCATGAGAAATGGGGCATTTACTTAGAACTCCTGAGTGCTTGTCTGTTTCCAGGTACCGTAAGTGCATTTTACAGTCAGAAACATCACTTATTTGCTTTGAATTGTTCTGTTTATCATTGGCAACTTGTCTAAGGCAGATCAGCTTCAGAATGCTTGATATCTGCTTGTCTCCTTAAATGCTTTTTCCTTCTGCACAGATGATATAGGCAAATTTCGTCAGCCCCAGAGCCACAGTGTAAGATTTACTCATGAATAAAAAGAGGTTGTGAGTTTGCAAACTATGTAACAACCAAAACAATATAGCTTCTTTGTAGGCCCAAATTATACTTCAAATTGGCTGCAGCCTTAATTCAGGCACTAATTCAGTTCTGTGCATTTTGTGCAATGGCAACACTTTGTTTTATACAAATTGTGCGCACAAATTGCATGGTATACACTGCACCCATTTCACTACTAGAGCATGTTATGCACAGGAACTTTGCATGGAAAACTGGTTAAGAGAGTCCAATAAAACAAATCCTTTTCACTCAGGAAGAGTGGACTGTGTGGTCCAGCATTCTCTTCTCACAGTTGTGGGATATCTAAAATAAGGCAGTCAAAACCAACAACTTCTGATTGCTAGAAAGGCACACAGACAGAGGAAGTTGGATCTCAGAGTCTACAGGAAATTCTCCCTGTGAGAGCCGCTCCCAATGTGTCCAGCCAGGTAAAGGGGGACAACCTTCTCTCTCTCTCTCTGATCTCTGCTATCTGATCTCTTCCCTTTGATGCTTCATCAGTGACTAGGGATGTAAGACGTGCTGAGTCTGAATCACAGCTCAGATTCCAAGTCTAATCTAAACTATAATATATGTCTGTAGCTACATTTTAAGCCTGCCTCAAGACTGCTACTGTGAAACTGAGTGAGTAAATCTATCTTTACTTACTGTTTTGCATGTTTATTGTTTTAAGAAGAAGAAAGGGGGGAAATAACAGGAAATCCAGTCTGCAGTAAAGCATCCTGAATTACTTAAATTAAAAGGCTAAAGCTAGCTTCCTTATTTTTTGCTGACAAAGGGATGTACTCTGCCAAACTCACAAAGGATAATATCTAAGAAATATATCCTCTTTTTATTTTCCATACTCATCCCTACAACAGTGGCCAGTCAGATTCCTGTGGGGAACTCACAAGCAGGACAAATGAATCAATTCCCAAATAAGAGCCATATCCTAAGTTTGCTTAGAAGTAGGTTCCACTGAAGTCACTCACACTTCTTTCCAAGTTAATATCCTTAGAATTCTGACATATATATCCTAAGGATGGCATCCAGAGTCATGCAGCTGTTTTGTCCTATCTAAAACCTGCTGTCTTTAATACGTCTTTCATCAAAATATCAAGAGAGACAGAAAAAAAAAGCCATTTTGCCTGAGTATGGTATAACAGTAGCCTTTAGCACTGCAACAAATCAGTTACTCTCTGGCTGGTATTAGTGAGCATCCATGCTAAGCCAATGAGATATAAAATGGAGAACATCACACTTCTTGGGCTTTGATGAAAACACATTTTGTCAGGGATAAAAACCAGGCATTGAGCCAATGACAACCAGACTTTGCAAGGGACCGAGAGTAGGAATGAGATGGCAGAGTCCTGAGGTGATGGAACAGACTGCAACACTTCAGCATGCAAGCCAGGGATCAGACTTTAGGTCAACAACAATAACAACAACTCATTGCAAGGAAGAAAGGAAGGCTAGAACCTTTCTCCTCCACCTGCTTTTAATTTCTGTGCAGTTTTAAAAAAACAAGCGCAGAAAACCTTCCAAAATGTTCCTCCCACCTGTAGCCCAAAGTGGCACAACTCTATCTTCGCCACATCTCTCTGCTGCATATGTAGACTAGCCCTGAGTTCAGCAACTGGCATCCATGCGAGCCAATTTCACCTGGCATAGAAGCAGAGTGCTTTCGACCACAGCCTGGTTATCACTGTCACTTGGGTCAGACACTGTGTGTGGTGGTGGCGGCGGAACTAGCCCAGACTGGCTTTAATATCCAGATGACCCTCAAAGCCATGACCTTCTTTGAGAGACTGGAGACCCCATGCAACTTTCTGAGCTATGGACGCATGTAGGCAAAGTAAGTCTCCCTATCCCCTTTCTTTGCTCTTTTGCCTTCCTTGCACACTCCAGAAGCCCATTTCTCATACCACCAACACCTTAATCTACTGCTCCTCCTATTGCCTGCCACCCTCACCCCATCCCAGTCTAAGCCTTGAGGCCACTCCCCACTTCTACATCAACTTCCTCCTTCCGGTTCAGGGTCTTTAGCAGGCCTAGCACTGCTTTTTGGAGCCACCAATGTCTTGCTCCTCCTCTACGTCTTTACCTACCCCTGGCTCTTTATATGCCAAGCAGGGACCTTTGCATAATCCCTGCCTTGGCAGTGGTTCACAGTAACCCATTTGGAGCCTGCCATTATTATTATTATTATTATTATTATTATTATTGTTATTTTGTGGCTCTTTGTACAGCTGCAATTAGTTGATGTGGACTCCGAGCCCCTCTCCTTGCAATGGGCCTTGCCCTTTGGATCGCATGCATCAACATATCCTTTCAGCACCCCCACCTTCCTCCAGATAGGAAGTTTTGGACACCGGCCTCCTTCCCTGTCCAGCCTGGCCCCGCTGCGCCCCTGCACCTGTGTGAGCGTGTGTGTCTTTTGCACATTGGTGGTGGATATTCCAAAAGCAGATACCTGCGCTGGGGGAGCTGTTTTTCTGCTTGGAGTTTTGCCTCGACTCTTTCATCCAGGGGAAAATCTGTTTGGCGAGAGCGGCGTTACTAGAGCCCAGGCTGGCTTTGCTGGGGGCGCTTTTGACCCCCCCAGGCTGGCTGTGGTTATTGCTGCTGCCGCCCCCGTTGCTGCTGCTGCTGCTGCTGCTGCTGTTGGTGGCGGTGATAGGATTGGGGGGTGGCGAGACGGGCGGGGGCGGGTGGTGCTCCTGAGGCAGGCTGGGGCGCATGCAGCTCCCGTTCAGGTCTTTCGTTTTGGCCAGAGGGGAGGCGTTGCCGAGGGACTGGAGGGTGCAGGCCGGCCTCTGGTAGTCGTGGTTCTCCACGTGAGCCGCAGGTTGGAAGGGTTGCGGCGGAGGGCCCTCGTAGCCGAACCCATTGGCTCCCTGGTAGGAGTAGCCCCCGAAGAGCGTGGAGGTGTCGTAGTAGGTTGTTTTCTGCATCGCTGGGGCTCCCCGAGGTTCTCGCGCGCTGCTACCAGGCTCAGGCTGACCCCCTCATGGAAGGACATTGGCACCCCCAAGGTCACGTGGTGAGGAGGCCTTCCCCGGTGTCTTTTGCAAGCTGACCTGAAAGGTTAGAAAGGCACACACAATAATACGGCACGGCCTATGAATCCATCTTGGTCATTGAAAAGCCTCGTGACATGAATAGCTCGGGCTGCTGCGCGCGAGAGGAGCGGACAGCAGATGCTGCCTGGGCGCGCCTCTCGGCGAGCCCCTTCTCCCCTGGAGCAGCCTCGCCAACTATTCCAGGACAAAACACACAGAGAAGGGGAAAGGGGCTCCTCATGCCCGCTTGGATCGCTAAAACTGACCCCTGAGCAGTATTGTCCTTTTGTTCTTTCCAATTGGGTTGGTATTGTTCAAGAACCATTGCTGAGATAGGGATAGAAATCTTCCAACGGGGGGAGAGAGGATTTCTTATAGGCCATTCAATCTAACTCTCTAAGGTGTTTCACATAGGTGCCTGCCTGCATACATAACATTGTCAATATCCACACACACATTCATACAGGAAGAAGTCGACATAGTTCGCCGCGCACCCCCACACGTAAGAAAGCAATAGAGTCTTGGCTTTCTCCACGCGAATCTTAAGCCCGTCAATTTCCGTGAGCGAAACCTCCAAAAAAAGGGGCCCGAGCAGAAATAAAACCCAGCTGGGAAGTAAAAGTCCCATCGGGGCTGACTCCCAGATAAGCAAAGTGCAAGTTAGAGATGTGAAGTCACTTGGTAGATCCATACTGGAAAGGTTTCTTCTGTACCGGTGGTATCATTTTTATATCTATCCACACACACAAACACATTGTATGCATGCTGTTATCAAGTTCTTCTAAGCTGAATTCGTATTATAATTTAATATTCTCCTGATATGATTCCCACCTCAACAAGGAACCTCAGAAAAATAATATAAAGTGTACAAGTATAGATTGGGTAATAGATTATTTTTTTTTAATCACTGTTACCTTAAAATTGATCAGGATTGATCAGGATCCATGTTTTTAAATCAACATTTTAATGTTAAACATAAAACTGAACTCAGCTTTTGACATTCCGCCAAATGGTCCACTTGCAGCATAAGGCTAGGCATATTTACTCGGGAGTAAGTCCCAGTGTGCTCAAGGGGGCTTACTCCCAGGAAAGTGTAAATATAGGACTGCCGCGTTAGTGCGCTGAATTTAGAGAGCTGTGATGGCTGGGAACATTGTCAGATTTAGAGACCTGTACTGAATTCTTTGATGTTGGCGCTTTTGATACTGTTTTCCATGTTGTTTTTGTAACTCTCATTACCGTTTGGAAACAGGCTATAGAATCCACTCTACCCTGCAAGCCCTTAACAAATCTGGTTCAGTTGCGACTCCCAAGGTGCTAGTCCGGTATATATATATATATATATATATATATATATATATATGAAACAGCTTCCTTCTATGGCTTCTCATCCTTTCTTTAAACAAAATAAAACACAACCCAGTTTTGCCACCAGGCCATTTGGTTCTCTTGATTTTCTTTCCCTTTAACTTTTATGTTTTGTTTGTCCTCCCTTTATTTAGGGGTGGGAGGGGGAAATTCCTCCCTCAAAAAGGAAAAAAGCATGTATTCTTCTAAGGAAACATTAATTTTCTCCATGTTGGAAGGGCGCAAAAAGGCTAGAATTATTTAATGGGTCAAATAATAAATCAGTAGAGAAAGCACACACACACACGGAAGGATGAAAAAGAGAGAATCCTGTTTCACTGTATTCTGTATTTCATTTCAAATGCCTTTTTCCCCAGTGAGCTACAATCTATTATACTCCCCTACAGAATGAAAAATAATACTGTAACCCAATATTGGTCAGTTCTGACCATAGGAACGCACACACAACAGGAGCAACCTTCCCCCCTGACTTCCCTACATCTATGCACTTCAAAACCTAAATATAATTCAGACCTCATACCCAACCACATGCCCCACCTCCTTCTCCACGAACCTCCTCCTCCTCCTCTTCAGTTTATGCCTGTATAAATTCTGCAGTTTGCAGAACAGCAACTCTAAAAGTCTATGTTGTGATCCTTTCGTATGTTCCATGGATTAGATACAACCGTTGCCTTCTAGAAGCAGGCTGTTAAAATATTTGCTATGTATTAACTGGAAAGAATGATAAATTTGCTGTCTTATTTCAGCTGTTCCTTAGCAGACATAAACACTCGAGTACTCTCATGGCAAAAGATTGATTAAAAATAAAGAAGAAACGCAATAATCATTAATTCGATATTAAAAGACTGGGTTCGCTGAAACTGACTAAGCGGTTCAGCCATAACGATAATTTTACTAGGCCTCGCTGGTTTGTTTTGGATTTCTTGGGACCTCTGGAAGGCCTATGAGAAGGTGGAGGCAAATGTCTTCTTCTTTTAAAGGAAGAATTAAACAGTGCATTAAAAATTAATTCCCATTCTACTCTTCTCGAAAAGGAATCCAAAGTGGTCTGAGCGTTCAGTAGCAAAGATTTTTTCGCCCCTTTTGTATCTCATCTTTCAACACGTCCCAAATGTCGGTCATTTATCTTTGTCGGAGACGGGTGGAATCGTAAATGATTTACTCCAAGGAATTGTTGCTGTAGTTGTTGGGATGTGCGTGTGTTTTAAAAAGCACCCCGAGATCTCCAACGGAATCATAAATAGGAATAGTGCATTGGAAATTAGTCCTCGAAATGGTAACCGCAGAAGTTCCTTCTCTCGCTCTCTCGCTCTCGGAAGTTTCGTTTTTATTCCAGAAGAGGAACCTGGATTCTAAATAAAAGCCTCTCTTCTCGGGAACTTTTGCAAGAGAGATATTTATTTATTTTTCGCAAATTTATTTATTTATTTAAAAAAAGAGTGAATCCAAGAATCTAGAAGCCCGTTAAAGGGTTTGTGCCAAGAGCGAAGGGAAGGCCGTGGAGCATGGGAAAATATAATATTAAAAGCTCCCTTTAACCTCCATGTTGGAAAAAGAATTCTAAAATTCGCAGTCCTACTCTGGTTATGGGAGAAAACCGGAGAGCCTTTCTCCTTAGGGCGTATTTCTCCATAGTAGGGCAAAGGTAATAAATAATAATAATAATAATAATAATAATAATAATACTGCGGTTCCGGACAACTCTCCAGTTCACAGCAAATTGTTCACTACATTTAGAGCTTTCCCCTTTGAAAAATTAAAGGGGGAAAAATCCTCCACCACGTCAAAAGAGAGAGAAAGAAAGCGTTCTAGATGAAAAGGCGAAGGAGAAAGGGGGAGGAAAATAGAAGGGGGAGAATAGCAAAAAGAGGGGGGAAAGGGGGGTAGAAAGAAGGGGAGGGAAGGAGGGGGGAAGAAGAAGAAGAGAGAGAGAGGGTGAGAGTGAGAGAGAGAGGAGAGAGAGAGAGAGAGACGCTGCGTGGAAGGAAGCTTAAAGCTTGTGAACTCTTCATGAACCGCGATGCGAGTCATACAGCTATAAATCATGGAGACACGGTCTCCGCCATTCACAAACTGATAGCCTATTTCGGTCCACCTTACCTTAGCCTCTGACGAGAGCAGCGCGGCGAGCAGACATAATATATTTTCGCAGCCAGCAAGCAACGCAATCAATAAGCGAGGAGAGCTCCCCCCATTCCTCTCTCGTGCTGGTTTTTTTTTTTTTTTTAATGTTCAAGGAATATCTAGAGAGAGAAATCCGGTCATAACGCCAAAAGGAGGGGGGACATCTCTATAGGAGCTTACGGTGAGGGATGCTCGGGTCCTCTCTCTCTCTCTCGCCTCTCTCTCTCTCTCTCTCTTTCTCAATCCGTTTGGGGAGGAGTGCGGGGGGGGAAGGTGAGAAGAGGTAGGAACCACAAGATGCTAGACAGCCTTCCAAAGATGTATAGGGAATCCTTTGATTGTGGCTGCCCTATAGTCTTGGTACGCCCTGTTCACGGTTAACAATGGCCTCTGGCTTAACAGCAGAAGGCAAGAGAGAGGGAGAGAGAGAGAGGGAGAGAGAGAGAGAGAGAGAGAGAGAGAGAGAGAGAGAGAGAGAGACAGGGTACAGAGGAGGGGGAAACAGAAAGAATAGCTGACATGAAATCCTCGACAAGGAATGCTTAGACTGAGATTTAAATGACATAATAATAACATCCAGTTATTATTTTTGTTAAACCGGGCAATTTAAAACAAGAAAGCGCGGGAGGGGGAGGGGTTTGAGGGGGGATTCAGGAGAGAGAGATGTAGAGATTTCGTTTCTGGGGGCGGGGGGAACGGAGGGGTGGTTTTCCCCCCCTTCTCCCTCCTGCTTTGGGAGGGCTTGGGCAAACGCCAAGGTTGCTTCCTGACGGCGTCAGGAGTGGAAAGGAAATATGCAAATAGAGAGGTGGCGGACAGAGGCCTAGCAGGATAGCAAAAGCTGTATTGATTCACGTGCTTCGCAATTAGGTGTCAAGTTATGCTAATAAATCTTTGGAACAGAGGCAGATTTTCTTTCTTTCTTTCTTTTTTTCTTTCTTTCTTTCTTTCTTTCTCTCTCTCTCTCTCTCTCTCTCTCTCCCCCCCCCCCCAATTTCCTTCAGCAGAGCAAGCGGGGGATAACTCTCTCAGACCTCCATTATACCCCACCCTGGCCAAAATGGATTGCATAACCCTCCAGTATGACTTAATTATTATGACAAGCATATGCGGGGAGGGGGAGGGAGACGCGGCAAAAGGAAGCAGCATTTTAAAAACAACAAAACAAACAACAGCTCTTGAGAACACCTCCCTGAAAAGTTTTACAAACCTTCTGGGCGACATGAAAGGGAAAGTTTTAGAAAGTTTATATACTTAACCTGGTTGAGCGCTATTGGTTCCCTGAATGCTCACGTTGTGTATGCATTATGGGTTACATTCGAGCACGTCAAACGCGGAGCAGACCTGCTGAAAACTTCAGTTAGTAAAAGTCCATTGATGTCAGTAGGTCTACTCTGAGTATGGCTTAGTCAGATGCCACCCATAATGCAAGCGTTCACACATAGGAAGGAAGAAGAAAGACTGAGTGATCTACATTTCCGGCACCTCTCATCGTGTTATGCTGAACATTTGGGATGCAAAGTTTCATTCAGTTTATTGGGATTTACTTGCAAGCGACTGTGATTGGGGCAGGAATGTGATAAGTTCACCTGACACAGGGAAGTTATTTAACATTAGATAGATGATAGATAGATAGATAGATAGATAGATAGATGACGTCTCTTTAAGTCACTCAAGATTTATGACCCCCTTCCCTGCTCATAACACAAGGCGCTTTGCTTGCCAAGACAAAAACGTTTTCGCTCTGCTTTTGCTGCTGACCTGAAAGGGAGCTGCCGCTACAAACTGAGCGTGGGAGGAAGAAGTTGAGGTGTCTGCACATTTTTGGGTGCGTGCGTGCGAGGCAGAGGAAGAAGGGAAAAGGAGAGCTATTGTTATTCTCTCCCCCTCCTTCTTTTTGCACCTCTACCTTGAAGGGGGTAATTGCTGAATCAAGGGGAAACTGGCATTCAGAAAGGGAGTGGACTCTGGAATTGGCTCATTCCTTTCTTGGGATGTTCTTAGTGCTCCCCATCTTTGAGAATGGTCCTGTTTGGGGAAAACTTTTTCACTTAACTTTTCAGACCTAACTTTGTCTCTCATGCCTAAAATTGCAAGTGACTTTATCCACCCGGACAATGTTACCTTATTCCTGTCCACGTTGGCCTTTTTTTATGAGTTATGAAAAGAAATCCCAGATCTGCATGCGATGGTGGGCTATTTTCTGCTTTGGAAGACCATCCTGAGATTGGACGCTCAACTGAACCATGGTATTCAAGAAGAACTTCATTGGCAAAACACGTCCTGTGGAATTCTCCGGGTGAAACTTAGAAGTCTGCTGCTGGACAATAAGTAGTGCCTCCACGGATGGTAAACATAACTTTCAGGAGGGGAAAGCACTTTTATTGGCATAAACACTCCCTTTCTTTTCTTTTTCTTTTTAAAAAACGAATTAGTAGCATTGTGTGAGTATTTAATACTGTCTTTTTGAATTTCCAGGTCTACTGTCCTTTTAGTCCTTCCAAGACTTAAGGCTGCAATCCCATGCGTATATATCTGGGAGTAAAATCCGTTGAATTCAGTGTGGGTTACATCCGAGAAGGATTGCTCTATATAAGGCTGAAATTAAACGCTAGGGAGTAAGTCCCATTGAACATACCAGGTCGTGTCCTTCTGACTTACATGCTGAGGACTACGATGCATGGAATAGAGGCTCAAAACAAGACCAGGGTAGAAAGCAAATCGATTAACTGCAGAATGTAAAGTATCAAACTTTCTGTTTAAAAAGAGAGAGAGAGGCCTTGAATAAATCCTTAAGGTCTTTCTGAAACTGGTATGAGATAGGGGCTGCTGCTGGTGCACTTTAGGCGGGACCCACAATAGGTCAGTGGTGTTTTCTTAAAACTCACCAGTTCCTAGGCTGCTGGTCCTGAAGGTATAATGGAGAAGTACAGTTTAAAAAAGAAGGGGACCTGTTTAAAAGAGAGAACAAGAGAAGGAGAGGGAGAGAGACACATACAGAGAGAGGGGAAAGGGGGGGCGTGTTGGACTGTTTAGTAAAAGTCTAGAACGTAAAAGCAGATAAGTTTGGGACAGGAGGCAAATAAATCACTTTGGGTAAAAAATAGCCTTCTCCGTTCCATAACACCACTGTCCAAACACTCCTACCGAAGATTCGCCAACAGGACCCAGGTCTTTACCACCGTCGTTCGCTCACTTTAAAAGTTGCCAGCTAACGTTTACATATGTGTGCTGGGAGTCAACCGAAGTTAAAGATGATGCATGGACACAGGAGAGCCATACTATAGGCGCGCAAGCACGCATTTAGGAGGCATTTCGTTCCGAATATTTCCTTGCAGGCTGGACTGAGAGAGGGTTCTCTTGCCCGATTGGGGAGAGGGTGTTGTTAGCAAGAGGCTTTTGATGTTCTCTAACGTTGTTAGGGTACGGTTTCCCGCGGTTGGGGGTGGGTGGGGAGTTAACGGGTTTATTTTTTCCTGTTGTTGAACTTAATGTCTTTCGATTAAAATAACAGGAATAACCTAACAAAGGAGGAATATCCAGATCTATTTATTTTATTTCTTATATGCTTAGCACGTCGTGGTTTTTAAACTTTGGCAGTATATTCGCGAGGGGCCGGGTCCGAGAGAAGGGAGAAGCAACCCCAGTTCATTTACCTGCAAGTAAGCCTCGCTTATTTTCAAACGAGTACGTGTGTACACAACACACACACACAGGTCCTTCTGAGTCTTTGAGTCTTTGCAATAGGGCATACACGAACCCAACGCATATAAACAGGGGCTATTGCTTTCAAGTTAAAGCCTGCCGGAGATCCCAACTTTAATCCCACCGAGGTCTAGTAAGATTCAGAAGGGTAGTCAGATGGTGTCTGGCATTCTCATGTGTAGGCGAACAAAATAGGCCGAAGGAGAAAGCGAATTCGCCAAACAATTAACCGAGGATTTGTGGAAGGCGAACTACTTTGAGATTTATCACTGAAGCTTGGGTAAGGTTTTGGTTTAGGGGGGAAAACGAGAGGGAGGGAGAGGGAGAGATCATTTAAAAATATTTTCGTTTGGGGAAACATTCCTTGGCTCTAATAACCCGGTTTTCCGTTCTGAATGCTAATATTATTAATCTGCAATAAAAACGTCCGCTAACCACACACCAACACTCCCCGAACGGTATCCCTGCATGTCGCAGAACCTCTGGAATATAAATCACGCCCGGGAGGCCCCAGCTGCCCCCATCGCAATTCTGCGGCCTTTGGCAATAATTCCAGCTTCATTCCGCCTGCTTCTTGTTGTTCCTAGAGGCGCCCGCCCCTGTGAACGGCCACCGAGCTGGCACCGGGCCACTTATACCACTTGCAATCATCGGTGTGCTATTTCTGGCTCTGAGTTTAAATTATTCGTTCTTTGCATCATAAATAAAGTTGTTGCTTTTTTGTTTGTTTTGTTTCATTGTGAAGTGTTTCTATGTGTGAGAAGTCTAGCAGCTAATAATAATAATAATAATAATAATAATGATAATGATAATAATAAGATTCTCACGCTTCTAGAACTCAGTGAATAAACCTAGTGGCAGCAAAATGAGGCCAAAGCAAATGAAGGCAGCTTACTAAAACGATTTCTGCTAACCTGCTACTGCTGCCGCAGTTCATTAACTACAGTTTGCACGTTCAGCTGCGAGTCATCCAGTTTTGCCTTAGTATGATGATAAGACAGTGAGTGGCATAAAATGCACGTGTGAAGTGGTCCTGAGCACCTTCAGGGAGATGTCATTCCCATCTTTTTAAATCTCGGCTGCTGGCTTTTGGAGGGCAGGGGTAGTGCGCCAGGGAGGTGGGTCACCAAGACAGCCCCATAAGTGGTGTTAGCCGTTGGATAGGGGGCAGAAGTGCAGCAATCCAAGTCTAAAAGACATAAAATCCTACAGGAAAGGGGAAAGTGCCTTCAGGAAGGATAAAACTTCCTCCCCATACACCAAAATCCGTCTATTTTAATGGGGTAAAGTTTCTGCCCAGTACCCACCAAAAAGATGGAAAAGCAGCAAAAAGACAGAAACTCTCCCATTCTAGTGTTTGGTAGTGTTTTCTGGTCGTCTTCATGTATTTTCTTAAACATAAGGTTTTCTATGTGGCCTGATGGCATTACTTAATACTGTTGTTATTTATTGCAGAAATACTGTTTTGTCTGTCCATCTGTCTATCCATCCATCCAACCAACCATCCAACCATCCAACCATCCAACCAAACCAACCAACCAACCAACCATCCATTATGTTTTTATCTTCCCTTTCTGCTGTGGAAATCAAGGCTACCAGTAGTGGTAGCACATTATGGAATAGGGGCAGGTAACCTCAGACCTTAGGTGGCCCTCTAGATATCTTTACCTGGCCCTTGGGTCTCTCCCCAGGCCACAGCCATCTCTACAGCCCTGCCTGCCACCCTCCTCAAGTATTCTTGCCTGGCTGGAATATATTATGGAACTCTGATAATGGCTCTTGCTTGCCTTGATGGAGGATGAATAAGGGTGAGTGAATGTGTGTAGAAATCAGACATCAACACAAAGGTAACATTTGCATTCATTGCTCCACCCACATTTGTCTCTGGCCCCTCCCAGTACTGGCATGTGGTCTCTGGTTGCCCAGAAGCCAGCGAAAGATGTGGACTAAAAAAGCTTCCCCAAAGCTGTTGTAGGACGAGAAATCTTTCTATGGGTCCTTTTGTATAGAAATTCTCTACAAACCTTGTTTATTTTATTTAACAGCAGTGATGCTTCACTGTAGCTATAGTTGTTTTTAATCTATCTATCCATGTAGTCATCTATGGAATGCATATTTGTGCTTATGGCTCTAAAACTTTGTATAAGTTATATAGACATAGAGCTTCCTGATGGAGGGTTGGGTAAAACCTGTTGTTTATGGCCCAACTATTAGGGAAAGCGAGGTAGCTGCCCCAGACAGTTGATTTTGGGTGTCACAAAAGGGCATCACATTGTTAGTCATGTTATATATTGTTATTGGGTTCTTTTTGTTAGTACTTTCACTGTCTGGGAGTTTTTGTTCTTCTTCTTCTTCTTTTTTACTTCAGCTGCCAAAATACCCTGACCAATATTGGGCACCTGACGGAGGGAGGTGACTGCGGGAAGTAGTGCTGTTTGCTGTTACACCTCAGGCGGCAAAATATATTGAGCAAACCCTATTGTTCTGTCATAAGTGCACAGGGAAATGTTCCCGGAAGCCAGCAGTACTTACTACAATATTTATCTGTTTTTGTTTTTTTGTTTTAGGGATTTGTATCCTAAGATGTCTTCCCTGGTTACATAGGAGCAGGTTTAAGAGAACTTCAGTTCTAAAGAACTTGGTTTGGGTGCAAGCGCATCTGACTTAACGAAATTTACATCCAAATAAGTGTGCGATTAACATTCTCCCTCCTCCTCCTCCTTAATCCTCTCATAGCCACACGTGCACGCAAACTCTACCCATGCGCCTACTCGGGATAAACCAGCATCTCTCTATCCGATTGTTTCCCTTGATGGATTGTAACTCTTTCTCCCCCACGACCTTTGGTTTAGAAGCCTAATAACTCACCGGATTAATGGTCAATCAACGGAAGTAGTTTTAAATTGCCTCCAAAGTATAAAACATAAACAACAACACCAGCCAAAGGGGGGAAGGAAAGAGAGACCCCCCCCCCACAATCCCAGTCTGTTTTGTGCTCCACCCTCTTGGGGGGGGCACTTTGTCTTGTGTAAGTGGTCCCTGGGTCTTGTTCTGCAGTTGGGGCGGCTGGAGAGGGGAGGCGTGGGCGCGCTTTACTAGTACGGGACAGTCCAGCACATATTTAAAAAGGAGGAAGATCAGAGAACCTGAGTAACTCTCCCCAAGCAGAAACGTGCATCTGGATTTCCATGGAAACTACATTTTCAAGGGGATTTGCTACCAGGGAACGTGTTTCGTATCAAATGCGAGGGCTTTCTTGTCTACGCACAGGGACAACCTGACCACAAGCTGATTCTGAATGCTGTTTACTGCTAAGGCTGCAATCCTATGCGGTTACCTGAAAGTAAGAGCCACTGGACACCGTAGGACCTGCTTCACATGAAGTGTTCGTGTGAGCGGAACCTTGAGATACTAGGCAGCTGACCTCTTGCATTGTCTTTCTTTCGAATTATGAAATAGAGGACTGAACCATACTTTCACGACGTGACCATTTTCAAATTTCTCTTTCTGTGTTTTCTTAAAATACTTACACCTCGCACCTTACTGTTCCCACCTGATTAACTTCACGCTGGCAAACTTATTAAGTTCTTGCTACCGAGTTTTATTACTTGGATCTATGTGTTCCGGGGGGAAAGGAGAAAAAATCGGGAAGGAGGAAAGGGGAGAATGGATGGCGTTCAAGGAAGCTTTACTTAGAGTAGTCCCATTAAAAGTAATGGGCCTAACTTAGTCATATCCCTTAATTTTCATGGACGTACTCTGAGTAAAACTTAGTTGAGTAGCAACCAATCTTTTTTGCAGCTTCCATAGGCGACACCCTGCGGTCCCTCCTTCAGCAAGGGTGAAATTGACGAAGGAAATCACTACATCTCCGTTATTTCACTGAGCAGTTTAGCCTTTCTGGCTCACTTCTCCTCCTCCTCCTCTCCCCCCCCCCCCCGATTCAAATTTTCAGCGTTGTTATCTCTTCCTGGCCGGAGATAACCATGGGAGCAGGGAGAAGCACTTCCTGGTTTACTAGAAAGCTGCTCCGAGCTGGCCTGGAGGAGGCCCAGTTCCACACCCACGCTCGACCTCTTAATAGCAGCGTCCATTGGGAGAAAATAGCGCTTCCCTGGGAGCCCGTGTAGCGTTTTTGAAAACCTTACTTCCGCATAATTTCTGCAGAACTTCATTCGGGGCAGATAAAACTCGATTAGCTCCTCAGCAACGCTGCCATTTTAGTCGTGCTTACTAGGAAAGGCCAATTGAATTCAGTAGGACTTACTTCCACGTAAACATATTTAAGGCCTTGGCTATTTTTCCTAGCTGGGAAATTAAAGTGGATTGTGAGGTGGATGGGGACTAAAGTGAAGACTCCACCCCTCTTCATTGATTTACAGCGCAATCCTATGCATGTTTACTCCGGAGCAAATTCCCACTGATTTCAATAGTCCAAGGGAAGATTTGGACTAATAGAAGATAGTCTAAGGGAAGATTTGGACTAGGGGAAGATTGCAGCTTCAAGCAAGTGATAAATGTAATGAAGACAGTTTGCTTGCTGGTGGAGCGGGTGGCGTCGTCAATAAGTTTCAGATAATCTCTCTTTTGGCTTGAAAATACACTATTCAGAGTCATGCATGCAAAAAGGGAGAGGAAACGGGTGAGAAAACAGATTCCTATCCATGCGCATCACTTCTATCCTTCAGCCTTTTGGGCTTCTTTGGAGGTCAGTGGCCTGAAGAGCAGACCCTGATCTCAGCAGTAGAACGCAGATTTCACCCCGTTAAAGAAAAGCGGGGGAGCCAAGCTATAATTCTCTCAGTTCACAACTTTTAAATTTAGAATCCACTTACTTCTGTCTGGGAAGAAAGATGACGATTGGATACCACAGAGCGAAATTGCGCCTACAAGAAAGGAGAAAGGAAAATATTTTCAGGCAAGGCGAAGGCTTCCCTTCTGAGGTTGCAGCTAGCTAGTCTTATATTGGAAACTTGCCAAATGGCAAAAAAAGGCAGGCGCAGGCAAATACCCGAGTTCTAGTCAAACTTTATGGAGCTGGAGTGTCCCCCCTCCCCTTTCCTTCACTTCGAGTTCCGTCATAACATCATAAAGTTCGAGAAGGGGGTGGGAGTTGAAATATATAACCACAACAAGCGGAGTCATCTACCATCACTAACTTTGGGCGGGGGAGCGGGAGGAGCGAAAAGAGGGACACAATCCTCCTTGACATTTTGGTTCTGCTTCATACACAAGGAGGTACAGAGTGGCTTACTGTATGGTAGCAGATCTTGCTAAGAATCTGCTGTCAGAGACTGCGCAATTTGGGTGTTCTATGAAGCGCTCAGCACACTATTGGAGCTTGTAATTGCCCAGCAGCCGCGGTACTGGAAGGTGCCATGAATGGTAATAAACAGGTTTACATAATTAATAGGCAGGAAAAGACTGAAAGGGTAGGATGGAATGAGAGAGACAGGCAGAGAGAACAGATAAGCACTCTTCTCCTATACAGGGATAACCTATTGGTCTCTAGCCATTTACTCTAAAAGCAGCTCTTTGCATTGAAAGACACCATCTCAAACCAGTTTGAAGGTGACTATTTGCTCTTTTTATTCCAAAGTAGTTTCTTCCTGCTTGCACCCCCGTCTCTATTTGGGGATGCTAGCCATCTCCATGGAGCTAAGTTGCAGTACAGTTAGTGGGACTTGATTCCACGTAGAGGCGTGTAGGATTGGGAATGCCATTCTGTTGCGTTTTCTTCATCCACCCTTAGATATATTAGGTTTCACATATTAACCAGCCGTTTCCTTGTCCCGTTTCCTGCTTTGCTGAAACCCTCCAAGGCTCTTTGATCTATGGCATTCATCAGCATACCTAAAGGCTAATTGGGACTTAGGCATCCATAACAGACGGGCATAGAGCTGAAGCCTAGAGTTAATTTTTAATTGCAAGATGAAGAATTGTGAAAGCGGCCAATGTTTAACAGGCCCTCAAAAGCAGTATTGTGGGGCATGACTTTGGTTTTAAGTCATTTCATGGGATGGGGACGTGCTTGCAGATCTACTTGTAAACGCAAGGACTTGACACATTCAAAAATGCGTTTTGGAAATCCGCAGTCATTATATTATAAACTATGGGCCAAATAGCCTTCTCTCTCTCGTTCGCTCTCCAATTCCCAAACAGGTAGGTAGCATGATGAATAGCTGATAGGGAACCAGCATCCTCGCTCTTTCTGAAGACAGACGTTTCCGATCTGGTGGGTTATCGGAGGCAAGTGGTTTGGTATTTGGTGCTGCATTCATTAAAATCTGACCACAGTCTAGATAGATCCTCAGTGCTGGAATGGATCCTTGCTGAAGTCCAAGAGGCTCCTTGTGGTTCTTTGGCACGTCGCTACCTAAACTGTCCTAATTAAGATAATTAAAATAACAACAGCAACCCAACATGATTCCCATAGAAGTTGCCCAGAGAATGCCAACTGAGTTTGTTTTCGAACTGGTGGGAAACAACATCTGAATTAAAGAAGCAGCCACTCCATTAATATCAATTTCCTTCAATGAAAACTTTGGTTCTTCATCAAGTTGATGATTTATGATAAAATCGATTAAATTAGGGTCACTTAAGGGCCTTGTGGTTTCCTCTTGGATTTCATCTGTCAACGCATCAAGCAGTTTTTTTTAATCAAGTTTAGCTGGAGGCTAGTAAGGAAGATGATTCTGGAGCTGAGGAAATTTAATGCAAAGCAATTTTCAGGGAAGGGAGGCGCTCAGAGAGCAGAGTTCTTGCTCTCTTCCAATATGGCATTACTTTGCCGGAGGAAATATTAGACATTGGGGTGGTGTTTTGTTTGTTTTTAATAAAAAATAGTGTACGTTTATAGCTGGGGTATGGTCCCAGGAACTGAGTTATTAACATCGCCATCCTGAACTCAGAACATATTTGTACTGTCAGCAATAGTGGCTTTATCTATTTCACCCTCCCCCCTTTTATTTTTATTTTTTGGGTGTGTAAGTTTGACTGTAACCTCTGCTTCCCGAAGACTCAGCAGAATGAAAAAGCCCTGGCTTCCTAACATAAGAAGAATTCTTATGTCAGATGCAATTGTAAGGAACAAGGAAAGAAGAAAGGAAGGACCGGTTTGATGGAAGAGTCCCTTCCCTCCTTTGGTCTAAGAGCATTAAAAACATTTAAAAAAACAAACAAAAAGAAGTACAGCCATTCAAGTGTAAGAGAAATTTGCCCTTTATTTCTATAGAATGCGGACTGCATTCTTTACCATGAAACTCTGGAAAGAATAAAATAGTCCAAACAGTCCATGTTTACCTGGAAGAAACTGCCTTGAGTTCGGTTGGACTCACTCCTCTGTGCAATAGGATTGCAATCAGGTGGCCCGATTCTATGCATTGTTCCTCTGAGATAAACCCCACAGTGCAATCTTATATATGTCTACTCAGAAGCAAGTCCCACTGAGTTCAATGGAGGTTACTCCCTGTTTAGTGAATATAGGATTGCAGCCTCATTGTGTTCGGTGGCGTTTGAGTCCAGGTTGAGGGTGCACCCCAGATTTTGCAAAGGCCAAACAATGCGTGCATTGCTAAATATGATGGCGAGGACAAACAAGCTGGTAAGATGTCTCAGTCTCTGAAAGACTAAGGCGGTCCCCTACAAGGTAAAACCGCAAGCTTTGTTTTACATTGCTGGTTCTGTGGAGACTTAACACTGCTTGCTTCACACACCGGTAAGATATTTGTTAACTACAACTCACAAACATAAAAGAAACGGGGGGAGGGAGAGAGGGAGAAAAGGGAAGGGATACAGATTTGGTCTTCTAGGAAAAGGCTGGTCGTGACAGGAGCCACCTCAAATAAACACAACTTTCTCAACACCATAAATCACATCTCTCTGTTTAACACCAGGCTTCCCCTCCCTTAAAGAAGCGTTTGTAGTTTTCCCTTTCAAACAACCCAGAGGCGTTAAACCTTTAACAAATGTGGCCTGGGAGGGGCGGCAAGCGCGGAGGGGGGACCTATTTGGTCCAAACATCAGGTTTGGAAGAAGCAACCTGCCTCCCCTTTATTTTATTTGCATTGGACTCCCAGTATCCAACCATTATCAGGAGATCATTAATATTATTTGTTTACTATATCCCAGCCTTTTCTGGTCAAGCTACAGGACTAGTTTCTGAGAGTGGTGGTGATGTGGTTTTTTTGGGGGGGGGCTGTGCTTCAAGCTAGAACTCCAGCGGACCAATGGACGCCTTCCCAAGCTTTGTCAGAGCTATTAATTAAATCTCAACGGCCCCCGGAATTTCCTATGCTAGGATCAGACGAAGTTGTATAGTGGTTTGGGATTTGTTTTGATCTGTCTTGTAATTTCTTTTATTATTATTATTATTATTATTATCATTATTTTTATTAATCCCTCTTACCTGCAGCGATTCTCAACCAAACGACTTCAGCAGGAAGATCGAAGGCGGCTCAGGAGGTTGAGAGGAACTCGAAGGAAGCCAGTTTGGGAGAAGGAGACAGAGAGACAGAGAAGAACTACTTGACTGTAGCTCTGTAGATTTTGCTGCTAAGGTTTGTCTTGAGGCTTTTTTGGGGGGTCGGTTTTTCCACCGCAAGGAAGCTTTGATTTTTTTGATTATTTTTTTGAGGAACGGGGGCGGGGGGGCCTCTCTTGGATTCCAACTTGACAGAAGGAAAAATACAATGGTTTCCGAGACACGGAGGGAGAGCAAAAATAATAATGAAATAAAGATATTCTGCAGCAAGACGAAGACACGGAATACTTTTTCACGGGACAACAATGCTCTCTCCCTCTGCCACCCCCCTCCACCTCCGAAAAGGAGGAGGAAAGCCTCTCTCGTTTCTAAGCGAGGCTGTTTCTCTTTATAAAGACTTAAAAATGTTGCAAGAGGGGGGATCCTACTGACTGACAAGAGGTGCCAGATAGAGAGGGACCAAATGGATTCTGGTTTTAAAAGACCAACAGGAATTGGCTGGTTCTCAACGTCAGGATACGAAATTGATTCCATATGTCCTCCCCCCCCCTTCTCTTCCTCAGCAGTCTCTCAGGCGGGGCATAAAAAAGGATCGAAAAAGAGCAAAGGCTAACTGAGATATCTCTCTTTGTTAAAATAAAATAAAAATAAAATAAAAACCAAGAGGGTTCAAATAAAATGTTGTTACTGTTGGCTGTTTTAAATAGCAAATCGCTCCGGGTTTTATGCTTAAACACGGAAAGGTAAGGAGCTGAGAAAAGGTCATTGCGAATGGAAACGGCCTTGCATGACATTTTAACGTGGTCTTTAGCAAAATCTCCGTCTATCCACCCATGCATCTTTCCCCCTGTTCTTAGATCTTTGCCAAACGTGGCGTGCCTTCCTCCAGCTTTAATCCCATCCATTAATCCATTAATCTATTATATTTTTCGTATCCCCCCCCCGTTCCTTTTCTACAAGTAACCCAACTCAACCCTTGCTGGTGTCTTCACTTTTCACCCTTTCCATCATCCCTTGTTTTATCGTCTATATCCTAGATGTCTTCCTGTCCCGCTATTATGTGTGAATCTCCCTCCCTTTCTACCTGGCACCACGATCTGGCAAAGATTGGCCTGGAATTGCTGGCTTTTGCGCTGAAAGTCGTTTGAGATCGGTAGCCTTTGGGTGGTAGCAGAGCCAGGAACAAAGGAATAAATTCACGTGGAATCTGGAGGCGGCCTCCCCCTCCTCATCCCACGCTATCTACAGTTGCCTGCAGCTGGCGCTGGGTCCTGTCTGGAAACCAAGCGCTCAGGGACACTGGCCTTTTAACAAAGAACGAGCCCTTTTTGGTAAAGCTAGGCCGCTTTAGCCTTCGGTTTTTCCTGTGCTAGGGATTCCCACATCGCGTCCATTTTTGGAACCCATCCGGTGTGAACATGGTCCCTTTTTCATTCATGCCTGGCTGATCTGCCCTTTCAACATGTCTCCCGGAGTTTTCTGACCCCCTGGGAATAGCTAATAGCCGAAGTTTTTTTTTTAATTATTTAAAAAGAAATGCATCCCCACAATATGACATGAAATAACACTCTCCTTTTATAAAGGGCCAGTTCTACGCTTCAGAACGCCTGCGCGGGTACGCGCTGGGGTTGTGCGCGCACATGTCTATCCAGTTTATGGTCTTGGAAATGCTTATTCGGAAGAGAGTCCCATGTTGTTCAATGGATTGGCTTCGTCCTACGGCATGGGTTAGTATTGCAGCGTTTTAGCAAGCGTTTAAATTTGATAATTCCCAGCCAGACACCAACATTTTCTTACTATTTGCCTTTCTTCAACAAGGAAGCAGAGGGAGGTGAACGAAACCCTGATTCCAAGCCCTTGTGGTCCCTCTGAAAAAGTCTAGCTGTGGACGTATTTCCTCTCTTCCCTTCTCCACCCCGCCTCGTTTTGTTTTCAGTAATCCCTGCTGAAAGTGGGCACGTTGCAGAAACTGCATTTTTTTTAACGTCTGTGACATTTTTATCTCCAGAGTTCTCGAAAATAAGATAAACGCCTGCATTATTTTAACCAACTGTCCTTTTTTCTTTTAAATAGCAAATTCGTCGAGGAGACCCACATAACATTACCCGAAAGTAAATTCCATTGATTTCAATTTCCAGCAATCCATTCCCCAAATGATTTCAGTGTGCACCCCAATTCTAATGTCTAGTGGAGAGAAATACAGGGAAAGTTCTCTTGCCAAATCTCATTGAAATGAATGGGAACCTTCATCTCAAGGAGAGGTGCTCAGGAGACCTTCCCAGTGGATTGTACACAGCATATTTTAGCGTTGCAGCCACTGCTCGAACTTGCCACCCCATTCACTGTTTTCTAACACCACAGCACCCCTAAATGCATAATGTAATCCAAAGTACACAAAATCTGTTCTGCTTATAACATGATAAATGTAATGACTCAATTATATTTATATTTATCACGAGAGCATTATATGAGGCAATTATATAATCTGCCCTCCCCTCCAGTACCTGAATCTGACGTTACTTGAAAATGTCTCACTGAAACGATTAGAATTCATTTATTTTCATTTCAGTGGAATTTGCGCAGGAGAACTTCTTGTTGGCTCACGCCCAATGAATTTATGAATGGTACATAGCTGTATACTGTTATATTCTGCCTTACACCGATGTTATTATATTCATTGCGCGGCAGTCTGCTCCACTTAAATGAATGGGGTTCGCTTACATAGAGGGCTGTGTATATTCCAGATGTCAGATCTACTAGTTGGCCTAACTTTAGTAATGAAATTTATGTAGCCCTACTTGGATGTAAGGTCCTTTATGGATAGTAAATCAACACACACTCGACTCCATTGCGCTGAAAATAAAGTAGCCACTGCGCTCCAAAGTTAATCAATCTAGTGGCCCAATCCTAAACAGATTTACTTAGAAGTAAGTCCAGTGTTACATCCAGAATATACCCATATAGTTAACTAGCGGGTATAAATGCATTTAAAATCGGGCTGCCCGGGTTGTTTCATTTAGTTTGGATTTGCTTGCTTAGCCGTCAGGGATACTGATTTGCAGAACGGGAACTTTATCGGTATGCTTTCGCGAGCTAGCGTGACTCTTCCCTTTTCTAGCTCGCGTTAGCAACATCCCCTCGTGGATACAAATAGCGTGAGAGTTTCCGGGGAGCTTTCAGCGTCATGAGTGAACTCCACCCTCCTCTCCTTTGTTCCCGCTCGCGCCTTTGGCATTGGAGAACCTGGTCTCTCCGCTATGCTGTAGGGCTTCCTCGTTCTGCTATGTGTGAGTCGGTCTGCTAGGGAGGTAGAATGGGGTTGTTACACAATGAGCCTCAGGGTTGGAAAATAAGGCCTTAAGGGACCCACCGTTCCAATATCCCTTTGACTTGACTTGATTAAAACCTCCAAGAATTAAATTTACGAGAACAGAGCCTTTCGCCTTAAAATTTTATAACCCTTTGTAAAAATGATCACTCGGGATAAACCGATTAGTGGTGCACGGAGACAGAATCTTTGGCAGTTCACAGCAAAGGAACATTTTGCGTACAGTTTATTGGAGTGCACATTGCATTGGCAATGTATCGGTAATACAACATTCCCTCCACTAGCAGTATAATCCTAGGCATGTCTACTCGGGAGGTAAGGGTCTACAGGTAAGGGTCTACAGGGTTGAACCCTTATGCTATTCCAGAGGGGCAGACATGTTAGTTGGAACAAAGAGTACCATAGCTATTCTAAGATAGCATATGTATCACAGCATTTTCGTGGACTGTACTCCACGGAAACTTTTGATATAACCAATGTGCTAGCTCAGGAGTAGGGAACGTCCAGATGTTGCTGGACTACAGTTCCCATCATCTCTGACTATTGGCCACGCTGTCTGGGGCTGATGGGAGTTGGAGTCCCAACAACATCAGGAGGGCCACAGGTTCTCCAGCTCTCTGTTTAAGGTGCCACAGGATTTTTTGAATGTTGTTTTCCCCCTTAGGCAGTGAACGCTGGAATTTCTCTCCTTGTTCCCCCCAGGTTGTCTGCCAGTTAGACTAGGTGTCATCGGATTACTGATAGCAACCCGATTCTTCTAGAGTTCACTAAACCAGGATGAAGTTACCCACAGAAGTCAACGGCTTAAAAAATAAAGCGGAAGTGGAGTAGCCCTAACTAGCGAATGTCTGTCTGTCTGTCTCGCTCTTCCTGAGAGCTCCTCCCTGTGGCCTCCAAGGTTCTCCCCTCTCATCCACACAACAGCCCTATGAGGTAGGGAAGCTGAGAGGGAGACCGCTCAGTAGGCTTAAGTGGAGATTTGAACCTGAATCTGCGCTTTTCTCATTCCGCTACTCTAACCACTACACCACACCAGCTGTTAGGGTGAAAACTGGTAGTGGCGGGCTGGTGGGTTGGTTAGTTGAGATTTCGATTTCAATTGACTGTTGTTTCATTTATAATATATATCCGTAGTGTTGTTCCATGGTTTGGAAGATTGTGGGAGGGAAGGAATGTTGCTGCAACTTACTTTGAGCTTAGGAAAACAGATACATGCAGAATATAAAGAAAATGAAGGTTCATTCATCAGTTGATTTTAAAAATAGTGGGAACTGCGCATAAGGCTGAGATCCCAAGTACGGTTACTGCACAAAAATGTAATCGGTACCAGTGAGAACTGTTTCCAGATAAAACAGGTATAGAATTTAAGAAGCTGAGTTCTGGATTGGCAAAATCCAAGAGTGAGTTCGCTTTCAGGGTGCAACTGGAATTTAAAGGTGATGTGGAGCCAGAAATCATATAAAGCAAACTATACTTTTTCTATTTAAAAAAACAAAAGCTTTCCCTCTCTATTAGCACTATTCACTTGGTTGATCAAGAAGGAAGTTCTCCTGTGGACTCAAGACCCATTCAAGAGTTCCCATTAGTTTTAATGGTGGCATTCAAGAGGTCTCCATTCGTTTCAATGGTGCTCGCTGAGCTTCACGCTGGATTTCACCGCCACAGATTTCTCTGTGGATAAAGCACTTGTGAGGGGAAATATAAGAAAGGAAACTCCCGTTTCGTGAATAGATTTGAATTCTGACGTGACGATGACAGGAAAAGAAACTTGCAACTAAGTAACAGAAGCAATTTGGAAGTGTGTGTGGGAGGAATAATCAATATATTAGAGAGGGTTTGAAATATTATTTATCTCATTCCTACGTTTATCATCCGCAGCAATATTGCTAATCTTCTGAGATATTGGAGATCAACCGTGTTAATAAAGAAATATGCACAGAACACAAAACGAAAGTGCAACGATTATTTTTTTTTTTTGCACATTCTGATACAGCTTGTAGAAAAGTACTCCGGCAGCAAAGTTATTATATTACCTCGATCGATGAAAAGACCGATAATGAACATAAATGGGGAAATGTGTTATGATTTAATGAAGCTGGGTCTTCAGCAAATACAAAGATCTAGGCTAGGGGGAAACTGATGTGGTCTTCTTTGAAGAAGGGAAGCAACGGAGAGAGTGTAAGGTCGATGTGTAGGGGAGTATCGGAAGGAAACGATACAATGGAAAGAAGGAAAGGAATAGAGAGGGAGAAGGATAGAGAAAGAAGTATACGACTGGTTTGAAGAATCACAACGAAAGAATAGAAAGGTAAAAGGAATGTCTGGACCGCGGCTAGTAGTGTTGCTGCGGCTGCTGTCGTCGTCCTTACATTATCTCACATTGTGTCAGGCGCTGGACGTTTTCAGCACCTCTTGCACATTCACTTATGACAAACACAGCTGTATCGAGTTTCTAGTTGGCACAGTCCAACGAGAAGCTCTCCAACCCCATTGAAACAATCAAGAGCTGCGCCAGAGCCCCCATAGGACCCCTTCACCGGATCGGGACCCTCTTCATTTGAAAGTAAAGTCCACCGAAATTTAGAAGGCATTCCTTAAAAAGCCAAAGAGTTGTATTCAATGTTCATCCTACTCAGAGTAGAGCCACTGCAATTAACAGCCAACGTCGGTCTGCTGATTTCAATAGGTCTGCTCTCAGTAGAACTTAGTTGCATATAACTCTACTGCTGAAATCATTCCTGTTTCCCTGGCGTGCGGAGGCCTTTTTGACACCACTACCATTTATGTTCCTGCGAGGTCCGGACCCAGAGTTTCCCCCCGCAAGGACTTGGGAAGTTTGTGTCCAGAAAGGGTGAGGGGATGGGAGCGATCCTGTTTACCGCGCATTGCTCCCCCATCCCACCTCTCTAATCACCCCCACCAACATTCAAGAGCCCCTTTCAGAAGCAAAGAGGAGAGGAGGGCTTGGACGCTGGGGGTTCCCCCTGCAGAACCCGTATCACGATGGAATCTGGCCCAGGATGATTTTACAGGGGAGAGGGTATTAATAATGACACGTCCACATGTTTAAGGTACAGTATTATGTGATTTTCTAAAAACAACTCGGATAGATCCCCCCCTTTCTTTTCTCCTTCGTGTATCCCTCCCCAACTCTCCCCCCCTAAATCTTTCTAGTTTCCTTTTTTCCTTTTTTTCTTCCTTCCTTCCATCCATCCTTCCATCCTTCCATCCTTCCATCTTTCCTTCTCTATATGTTTGGATGGATGAAAACCATCCATCCAAACCCATATATGCAAAGGAAAGGGAAGTGTCTCTTGATTAAAATCTCAAGGAAGGAAGGAAGGAAGGAAGGAAGGAAAGAAAGAAAGAAAGAAAGAAAGAAAGAAAGGGACTCTTGGCTTTTCCCCTGGGCTCTTCGAAGCCCCCTCCTTGTCGCCATTCATATTTAATGAAAATCACCGTGTTGGTCTAATTGCACTACATAAAGGTTTACACTAGCAGACAGGGTAAAATAGCAGCACTCGGGGCGGCGTAAGAAACTCCGCTGGTTAGCAAAGGAGACAACGGGTAGGGGGAACTTCAGCTGAGTATCGTGAGAGGTTTCCATCTTCCCTTGGACTTGCCTGACAGCTCTGTGCGCTCCCTGCCTATTGCAAGTTGTGCTATTGTTTCTAACTGAGGAATCGCCCAGCCTGACTTTCACCTTCCAGCTCTTTGAAGCGCCTCACTTTCTCGATCCAGCTAGGACTGGGGGACTGCCGATTCCTAGCCTGAGCTGGACATTCCCGCCCCCAACTTCTGAGACCTTTTGTATTTCACAAAGGGCAACCCTTGGCGCCCTTCGCTCCGAAGCTCTCCTTGCCTTACACGGCATCTTTAACCTCCAGCGCCTTCCCTTCCTCAACCAGCTGCCAAAGACTACCACGACCGGTTATTTCAAGAGCTGCACCATCCACTAGTGGTGAATTTTGCAGCCCCTGAATTTCTTGAGGACCTGCGGCTCTGCGCCCCCACCTCCCTCCACCCCGCCTCTTACAACCGAGTGTCACATTGCCTCCAAGCACAAAATAACACACACAAACACACAAACCTCAATAGGTTAAGTGTAGCACAAAAAAATCAGAACGAAAAGAAGTACATTGCAGCGGACTTTAGAGTTATCACTGCCATTGACTTTGCTTACATGCTAAATAAGACCGTGGCAACTTCAATGAAATGCCGTTTGATATACAAAATTACCAGGCGTTCCCCCCAGGAAATCTGTCTGTCTACTCATCCAGCCAGCCACCTTCTACTTTCCTGTGAGCTTACTAATCCAGTTTATAAAGTGCCTCTGCTACCCATAAAGCCCGCTTTATGATGGGAACCCTGTCCTTATTATGGAATCCACAAAACGTGCTATTTGCTATCCACAATGTCACCCATCTCTAACGCGCAAGAAAGCGAAACAAAATTCAGAAGCAAGCGAAAATCCTTAAATAATAATAGCATTCCTGTTTCAGATAAGTACATAAGTAGACTTGCGGTGGGGGTAGAGGGGAGGCCCCCCAAACCAGAGTTCCTGCTGGGTGTCCTATTGTTCTGTCATCATTGGGTATCTACCACAGGTTTGAGAAGTGACGCCTATTGTTCTACTGTAGCCTCAAATGAGAAACTTAAACAAAACAAAACACACAGAGAGCTCCTTTCACTCAACTCGAACCAATCGTCTCAACTGAGTGCGTTTCTTGGTACACTTCAGACACAGGCAAATTTAACATCTCAGTCTGTCTTCCAATGTCCTTCGCTGAAGAGGTGACTACTTTATTCATTCGTTTATTTTTAATCAACATGAACAACACAATACGCCTATCGCCTGGATTTCCCACACGTGAAATATGGCTTTAGGCAATATCCACAGGGAAGTTCTTCGTCGTGTGCTCCGTTAAGGGGAGCTGCGGAAGAGCACGGGCAAGAAAACCTCCCGGTGGATTGTGCCCTTCATCCTGGAACAAACACCTCACGAGCCAGTCACCTATACAAGAACTCTCCACATTTCCTACTGCTGCTTGGTTTTTTTTGGTGTTTGTTTGTTTTTTTTGCTTTTTAAGGTTCTGGAAGAGAATCTCCCGGTCTCAAAAAACAAAAACAAAAACCTGCTAGCCGCGACTCTGACGTTTTTCTGGTTCCAGGATTGCCCAAAATTTATACAAATCTCTCCTTAATTGGTAATCACAGATGCTTTAATTTAAGACCCCCAGCTATACAGTTTTCACATTAGGTTTTGATCAATTACAGTAAATCGTCTGAAATAATCAACTCTAGGGAGAGCGGGAGAGAGAGGGAGAGAGAGAGAGAGAGAGAGAGAGAGAGAGTTCTGAAAGATCACACATCATTTTCGTTTGAGAAATGATTTATCTCGGACGGTGCCATAAACAACACAACTCTCTCTCCCAAAGACGCACACACATACAATGGGAGAAGGTCTGTTGCTGCTGCTGGGGCTGACATGTTTATTGTAATAAATCAAGGGGGGGAGAGAGAAGGAAAGTGAGAGAGAGAGAGAGAGAGAGAGAGAGAGAGAGAGAGAGAGAAACGGTTTGAGGAGAGAAAAAGAGAAAAGTGTGTGTGTGTGAATATATATATATATATATATGGAATGCCTGGATGGGTATAAATATACACACCACCACGGGGTGAAGAGAAATGGGAGAAAATGAAGATGGCTATTTGTCACATTTTACGACAATAACATTAATAACAAACAATAAATTTACATGGACATACAGACTGGGAGGCAAGACGGGATCTCCCGCTACTTACAATAAGTCCAGCCCTCGGCGTGGTTTCTTGCTTCCTGAGAAATGTTTTATTGCAGCCCTCTCTCACTCAGTCAGTCTCTCTCTCTCTCTCTCTCTCTCTCTCAGATACTCTTGCACACACACTCTCTTCCCCTCTTTCTCTCTCTCCCCCCCATAGGCTTATGAGAGAGAGTGTGTGTGTATGTGTATGTGTGTCTGTGCATGAGAGAGAGAGAGAGCGCTTTTTTTTTTTAAGGACAGTTGAATTTCACGTCAGACACAAGGAGACCATGTCTGCGATTTTCCTGACGAATACATATCTATTCTGCAACCTCTGCATTAATTATTTAATGAATCACGTGACTTGGGGAGCGTGGGGTAGGGGGTTATCTTTCTCTTTCTCTGTGTTTCCTATGCACAATGAGGGCCGTTGTGACCTTCCGCTGGAACATCAGGACCGTGTGTGCTCATATATATATATATATATATATATACACACACACACACACACACACACACACACAGAGAGAGCACATATGTCGCATCACACAAGCTCTCATGTTTTACACACACTCAATCTTGTGCATGCATGTGTACATATTCAGTATATACACACACAAACACACTTAAATGTGTGTGGGGAGCATAACATTTTGAAACCACGTGTTACAAACAAATATATATATCCATATGTTTAAGCAGTAGGAGCGATGCATGTACAGATATTATATCGGAGTGGGCAACTTTCTTCCATTCAGATTATTTAGAGAGATTACAGTCATTCTGTAAAATATTGGGTATCCAGGTGGATCCTTCCTTGCTTCCTTGTTCATTTCCCACCCCACCCCCACCCCCACCCCCGTTCTTCTGGCCCACCCATTCCATCCCTTCTCTTTAGCCTTTTCAGTCTATTAAATTCTCTTCCTCCACCTTTCTTTATACATATATGGGACTATAGTAAACATGCTCAGTAGCTTTGGGGTTATTGGCTCTGTTTAGTGCAAAGGGCTCGAGGACCACCACCACAATGATAAGAATCATTCTAATAGAAACTGTGAGACAGATTTAGAGTTTAAGATGAGCTGCCGAGATGTTGGTGTTGGTGATGGAAGCGAAGAGCTATAGAGCCTCCTTTAATCTGAAGACGCTGGGTAAGGAACGCTCTGACTTGCACCAGACAATAAGAATGCAAAGCGTAGTAGCACACGCTTGTGCAAACGTATCCAAACCATCATATTTTTTTTAACATGTAGAAGTGGGAAGTAAAAGGTGTGTGCAGCTATGGCATTTGCAGAAAAGAGTGCTCACGCGCACTTAGTTTTTCAGGTAATAAAGAAACATAGGCATCCTTCCACTAAACAATGGAACTGATAAGGGCCTGTGAGGCAGCGTCTTAAACAGACGGTAACATCAAATCAAACAATGGCAGTGGTGGGATGGATCGAGGTGGTCGGGCTGGGCTAGGAGCTGAATGCTTGCCTTTCTCTCAGAGAAAGGGAGAGAGAGAGAGAGACAGAGAGAGAGAGAGAGAGAGAGAGAGAGAGAGAGAGAGAGAGAGAGAGATGCACATATTGATGGCACTTCGACAACTGGGATCTCTTTCCTATTCTGAACGCTTTCGACAAGTATAAACCTCACATCAATTATGCGCAGGGGGAAAACATTTTAGGTAGGAATAAATGAGAGATCGACAACATGTATTTCCAGGTCTTTCTGACCATGGGGTTTGTAGAACAAAAGGATTGTGGTGGGTAGGTTTGTTCAGACCCTAGTAACAGATGTAGCGTTAACTGCATGAAACCGGTGATACGGCTGCAAAGCTTTTCTTTTTTTAAAAAAAAGGAGAAAAAAGAAGCCTGGTGTATTTTGTGTGAGTGTGTGAAAAAATAATAATCAAATCCAAAAATGCAGAATTCTCAGCACGGCTAATGTTTCCCACCCCAAATCTCAATCGCAGTATTCTGGGGTGGAAGCGTAACGGCAGAAAACAAACGCGGTTCGATCCCAAACGCCTTTGCTTACAAGTAAAAGCTGCGATCTTCCAGGATAAATCAGTCGGGACCCTTTTGCCAAGTGAATCAATGGGTTTGTTCGATGGGAACATTGCAAGTCATTCTGACTTTCGTTCAATCATGCTTCCAAGAAAGGGCTCGTTGGTTTTGCTCTAATATAACTCCCCGGCAAATCCCGCTGATTTTTCAGTTGCATCCCATTCTAAATACTGGGAGGAAATCCCGCTGCCATCAGTGGGGCCTGCTATCGTAGAAGAAATGTGTTTGGGACCAATCTTAAAATGGTTCGAAAAAAGCGAGGCGTTACAAGGGAAAGAAGAGGGTTTGACTGCAAGTGTTCACTGCCGTAAAGAGACCTTACTGAAGAATAATAAAAAAAGTTGGGCTTTTTTGGCCCTCTTAAACAACTGATTTTTAAAAAAATACAGAGGAGCGAAAAATGGAGAGAGAGCCAGAATAAGATTTCGATTTTTTTTAAACCTCGCGGATTTCTCGGAGACATTAAAAGAGAGGCAAGGAGATATTTATAAAAATATATATTTCTTAAGAAGAAGAAAAGTGAGCAGAAAAGAAAACATGTCTATAATCCTTGGGTTGCAAAGGAAACAAAAATCCGTCTGCTTCCCCCCCTCCCCCCCTTTTTTTGTTAAAAAAGAACAACTTTGATTTAAAAAGATGTTTCTGTCTTCTATAGTTCAAAGGAAAGGAAGCGCCTCTCCTCGCCCTGGTAGGTGCGAGAAACCGAGCGGGGTTTTTCTTTCTCTCTCTCAAGATAAAATGAACGTTTATATAGTGGGAAAGGCAGATTGATTTACGAATTTAAACACGCCGGTTTTATTGGGGATCATAAATCTGCCAGGGTGCTACCGATCAAACTGAGAAAGCTCCCAAACTCCGCTCCCCTGGCCAGCTAAGATCCACGCCTCTTTCTCTGTCATTGAAAGGGACGTTTCCAAAGGAAAAGGTAGAAGGGTTGTAACACAGATCCGGTTTGTGGGTGGGTGTTTGCGCCCGCGCCCGCGTGCGTGCAACTTGTGTGTAGACAAAGGAACGCACGGAGAGAAGAAAAGGGAGATAAGGAGATAAAGACAGGGTTTATATGTACATGCACTGATAATAGTGGAAATAATACGAAGAAATAATCATATGAAGAATAAAGAAGGGGGGAAGAGAGAGAGTTTCAGAACATGTGCAGACTGCCTTGGCCTCGCCACTAAATAAATAAATCACAATCTCAGCCTATCTGCGACTAGGGAAGGCATCTTTTTAAAGAAGGATACAGAGCAGTCAGTAGGCACGGTTGCTTTCAGACCACACAACTGCAGGTGGCGTTTTCACACGTGCACTGCTGTGCGCGTTTGTTGTTAAATACAAATCTATGTTGCGCCAGTACAAAGAAGATGAGCCACGAGAAAGAAGCAGATACCTACATACAGACAAATGCCATGTTCTATATCTCACAGTAGACCTTCTGCACCCCTAAGCTCTCCTTATGCAGTTGTCTAACACCAATAGTTCTTCTTTTTACCATCCACCAGAATAATATATTAAAAAATATATATAACTAGTCTGGGATGGGGAGCTCAGGAAATAGCTGCCCACCTTGCACTATTAGGATGGAGACTTCATTGCAATGTTTAGCACCTAAACCGCTTTGCGTACGGAAACCTGGGACCTCTGGGGTGGGATCTTGCTACAAAAGCCACCACCCAGCACCCTTGGTGGCTGATATTTAAATAACAGTCCAACTGCACAACCAAAAGTAAACATTTTGCAAAGGGTGACAGAGATCTCCTTCTGGTGAGCCTGGACAGACGGGTCCACAAACCACTTAGGGTAGATTGAGGCCCAGTTTGTGCCACTGGCTTCACTTTAAACAGATCTAAATGCCAGTACTCAGGTTTTAAGCGAGCTGGAGATGAAGATGAAATGTCCACATTTGGGGGGAAATATTCAGTCTCTGGACCACTTTGTGGTTCGTGTCCTCACTCAGCCTTATAGAAGGCTGCAGGTGGGATGGTATAAATGGGTCTACTGAGATATTTACAACAGGAAAAGTCGCTCCTGAGCACAAAATTTCATTTCCATGTAAAGTCAGGGTCCTCTCCAAGTCACTGTAAAGAAAACGTCATCATAACACTGCATTTTCCTTTTGAAGAAGTCTAGTGGGCCTGAATACTCCACAATGTATGGTGATCTAAGATCTCCAGAAAATCATTACAAGACATGCTTGCTATAAGACTTGAAATTTATCAGGGGGAAGAGGGGGGGGTGGAGAGAGAAGCCTAATACCTAAAGGAAGACAAAAGAAGGTCAAGGCAGCCATTTTAACAGAATAACATTGCGAGTTTATGCATGTCTTCTCAGAAGCAAGCCCCATTGAACTAAATGGGATTTACTCCCAGGTAAGTGGCATGTAGAATTACAGCCTTAAGGTGCTTTCCTCCAGCCCAATAAATAAACTTGTTTATCAAGGAACCCATCAATGACACCTTTTGTAAAGGGCTCCTTCCTTTTTCTTAGAGCCTTTGAACCCATCTACCAGTGAGTGTTGCTAACTGCTGTTATGACATTAGCTTGCCTTGAATAAAAGGTAGAAAGAATGTGAGGAAGGGGGTGAAGATGAGAAACAATATGAAAGGAGGGGTGTCGAATTCATGGCCTGGTCACCCCACCTTTCCATTGCATGCATGCCACACATTTAAATCACATGACTTCCCCCAAAGAATCATGGGAACTGTAGTTTTCCACTCACAAAGTCACAGTTCCCAGAACCCTTAACAAACGCATAATTATTTGTGTGTGCATGCTTTTCACAAACTTAGCTCTATGGTGTGCATGCAGGTTCCCTTTTTCAAAGTCACCCTAGAGTCAGCCAGCAAATCTAGGCACCAGGGACCCAGAAATTAATCTGAACACCATGTATATCAGCATACTGCTCAATGTTCTTCCAGGGAAGAAGAAGGTGTAAAAGCAGAAAAAGGTGGCTAGGCTCCTACTACCACAACAGCCACCACTGATGAAGACTGTGACAAACATAATAATAGCCACTGTACTTTGCGACACAGGGATTGCACCTATTTAAAACTAAAACCCAATAGACCAAAAGTATGGAGGACTGCACGATGACAATGCAATCCTATGCATGCCTACTCAGAAGCAAGTCAAAGGGGACCAACTCTCAGGTTAGGCGTGTATGGGATTGCAGCCTCAAAGCCAATCCATCAAACCGGCCAAAATTTAGGCCATCTCCTATTCATTTCAAGGAGGATTGCGCAGGAGAACTACCTGCTGGACTGTGCGCCCTAAAGAAAGCTAGGGAATGAGCAACAACAAAAAGCCATAGCCTCCGACAAGATAACCGGACTGGAGGAGGAGAAAAAAGCCAGGCGCCCCCACACACAAAAGGAAAACCGATAGACTAAGGAAGCCAGAGGTTGGTTGGTTCTCTGTGTTGCCCTCGTTTTCACGTTTGCCTCCGGAGTTTGCTTTAGCCCGCCCCTGTTTCCGTGAGAGCAATGCCACCGAGCACAATGTCCAGTCTTGAAAAGGTCAAGGGGTTTTGAGGGGTCATTCTGTAGCTGCAATACCAGGCTAATCGCTTAGAAAACGTGTCCCTTGGATGAACTCCATCCTCACTCCGCAGCTCGCCAGGGTCAGATCTTAACTCCATTTCTTCTAATATAAACCTTCTCCCCCCCCCACCTTGAAATGCAGATGGATAGATCATGGACGGACGCACAGACAACCTCTTCACTCACACCTCTGCTGGCAAACCTTCAAAAACCCGCGCATGAATACCAAAGGCAATATTTTAAAACCAGAAATTAAGTAGCCACGCCTCCTCTGTATTATCTGCAGTTATGGAATATGTAACATTGCATTATCCTTACAACATCCCCTGGCATAAAGAGTTCTAGGACAACAGCGTAAGGGTTCCCAGCTACTCCAAACCCACGGAGAAATAAAGGCAGGGCGCCCTTTTAGAACAGGCACCTATTTTATTCTAGTACCCAGTCTCCTGCCCCACCTCACCACAATGTCATTAGAAAATAAACAAGCATTCTTCACAAAAGGCCAGCTGTTAAAAACACATTTAAAAAGCAAACCATTCAAATTCCTTTAAAACATCTCTTATTAGCAGTCTTCTCTCTCTCTCTCTCTCTCTCTCTCTCTCTCTCTCTCTTTCTTTCTTTCTTTCCCCGCCTTTCTAACTCCTGTTGTTGTTTTTTTAAAACAACAACGACAACCACCAGGAAGGGCTTCCTCTTAAGGCTGCAAACTCATCTAAGGCTGCAGCCCTATGGACACTTACTTGGGAGTAAGATCATTCAATTCAGTGGGATTTACTTCGAGTAAACGTGCTGCATAGAATCGGGCTTCCCAGGGCACGTTTTTAAGAGCAGAAGGCATTTGATGTTGTCCCCGCCCCCTCCATCCTTAAAAGAGAAGCAATATATAATTTCAAAAGAACAAGCCGAGCCTTTAAAAAAACACACACGCAATGTTTGGGGTTGTTTTTTTTACCTTTTTAGCTTCCCACATCTTTTCTCCAGGCGGTTAAAGGTGGTGTTCAAGTCTGAAGTAGAGTCTTCCATTTTAAAAAGTAAAAAGTTAAAAAAAAAAGTTCAACTTTGTGTGTGTGTGTGTGTGTGTGTGTGTGTGTGTTTGAATATGTATATATGTATATAGAGGTGTGTATATATATATATCTATATATATTAATATATAGATATATATTTTCTCTTGAAGATATCTTGAAAGATTCAAGGCTCCTGGGTACTCTTTTTTTCCCAACAGAAGGTCTGCGGAGGTTTGCTGTTGAATAACAATAGGAAAAGGATAAGTATTTGAATAAAAGAAATGATTAATGATTTTTTCGGTATAATTCTCGCATTTTTCTCAGCTTCTGTCTGCTTACAATGCTTGTGAACTTTTAGGGTCTATAGAAATCCCCACCCCAAATCCTTTTCACCCTCTCCAGCTTTGATTTGGCTCTATAGAAGCTACATTCTTACCAGCATATGCTTTTAAAAGTTTTGTTTGGGGTATGTGAGAGAGGGAATGCCTTGAAGTAACCCTGAAAAGCGCAAGAGACATGCCCCCCCCCCAGCACCACTGAAATCAATGGAAACGTAGCCATTGGGAAAGGGATACTGTCTCCAGTTACCTAAAAATCAAACTTATTTCCGCGTAAAAATAAATAAAAATCCTGGCATCGATTAGGGAAATACACGTGCAACAACACCCTTCTTTTTTTACTCGCAAGTGTCCCTCAAGTCCTCATTGCCAGGGGGTAGCTTTCGTGCATCATAAGAAACAACAGCAAAATGCCTAAGGGCTTAATTCACATGGTGTCCTCAAGTATCGATCCACTAAGGTCTGCTGTAAGATGAATATGGACCAGAAACCATCCGAAGCTACTAAAAAAATTATTGGCACCAAGTTCTTAGGTGCTGTGTTGCAAGGCCGCTGTTGTCCCAGGACATCCTGCAAGCATCGCAGTACTGTACTCGAAAGTTAACCCCATTCATTTCAATTTATAGTACTTTCAAGTAAAGAAGCTCAGATCACACCAGTGTTGGCTACCTTGGATTCATTCTGCAGCAGCGCTATCGTAAAAAAAATTCCTGGATTAGGTGATGAGTGGATTGTGGCCAGTGGTTGCTTGTCCACAACAAGCCATTTGCTCTACAATCACTCTCATGGCTTTAAGGAATTGTTCCACAATAAAAGGGGTTGTGAATAGGCGTCGGTGTGAGAATCAATAAGGTTGTTTTTGTCTGTTTATTTTTTGCACTGACTCCCATAGAAAGAGTCTGCCATCTTATGTGGAAGAGGAGGTTATGCACACGCATTAAAATGAAGTTCACAGTGAGCATGGCGGATTGGGCCATCGGTATCAACCCCATCGAGATATATGTTCTGATAGTACAATAAAGCAGTAACGTAACACACGATTTGAGTAATGGATAGCAAGTGGCCTAAGGGAAGGTTCCTGGAGTATTTTAACCTTCATGTGGAAATTACTTCCTGCGCACTGCTCAAAGCAAGACCCAGTAGGAGCTTCTCCTGCACACGCTCCACTGAAATGAATACGACCTCCATTGCAATGGAGCGTTTGCAGGAGAACATCCCGCTGGATTCTGCCCCAAGGTACAAACCGTGTTAAGACCGTATTAGGGACAGGAGTAGGGATTTAAAAAGAGAAAATTACTGTTTTCTTTGCATGGTCTCTAATCCGTCTCCAAACACACACACACACGCGCGCGCGCGCGCAAAATTTGTAACTTAGAACTGGAATGCTATTTCGTCCTAAACAGTATTTTCGATACTTTGTATGAGAAAGAAAATGAAAATTAATACAAGAGCTATGGAGCACAAAAGAAGTCATTTGTCTTCTTGATTATCTATTTGCTTGTCAGAGTTTGAGCTATTGCAGCGGCTGGCTCCTTTGTAATATAAAAATACACAGAAAACCCGCAAACACCGAGAAACATCTGTGCAAAAATTATGGTCATTAAATGTATTAAATACCTTGAAGAAGGTAGCTTTTCTCGGGACGGGGGGAGAAAATAAAAGACAGAGAAGAAACATCTCTTGGAAAACACACTGCTGCTTTATAGTCTCAATATCCAGGTAGAAATTTAACGATCAGACTACTATTTTAGTTTGAACCAGTTTGGAAAGCAAAATGTAACCACATTAATGCATGCTTAGAGGAAATAAATCACCTCATATAAGGCTTAGCTGTAGTTAAGGAGGATATACCCTATGGTCAAACATCTTTTGTTTCCATTAGGGAAGTGCAGGCTTGGAAAATGACAACAATAAAAACCTGGTCGAATAGAAAAGGGGTCTGCAAAAGTATCAGAACAAAGGAATAATGTCGCGACTATTTCAGATACCCTGAAAGACACGGACAACCGTATTCACCATAAATGCTTTATTTCGGGGTTGTTGTTGTTTTTCCACCGTGGCTGCTGCTATATACATGTTCTTATGGGTATCACACAAAACAACAAGAGGTAATTATACAGAACGAAAGGAGGGGAGTGTTATATTCCCCCCCTCCCTCAAGTTCTCTGGAATCACACCATTTCGGAATGTCATATACAGTATAGGAGAGAGAAGGGTGAGAGAAGAGAATGAGGGGGGACAAGAGAGAGAGAGATGGAAAGGGGGGGGGGAGAGAGAGAGAAAGCGAGAGCAGAGAATACCCATATTCCTTTCCTCACGCCTTACTTCTCTAGGGAATTTCCTGAAAATTCATCTTTATCTTCACATTCATTTCAAAAACTGAAGCGAAGGCAGCGAAGGCGCATCCTTATTTACAAAGCGGCCCCCCGCCCCACCCGTTCCATTTTCATGGCTGCTGGAACCCAGATGGCCTTATGCTATAATCAACTTTATAGACTGAAATGCACTGCCCTTCTCCGCTTTCCAGGTCTTCCAGGTTAGATAATTAACCTGAAGTACTTCCCTGCCACCTTTAAATTACATTGCTTCTTCCTCTTTTTTTTATTTTGTGTCCTTCCCCGATTCTCACCCCCTCCCCGCCGCCGCTTGATGCCCTTCCTTACTTGGAATATTACAATATTTATCATCCAGTAAAGTCCTTAGAGGGCTGTGAGAATTCTTTCCCCCCCTTTCCAATCCCTCTCCTATCTAGAGCTGTGTTTAGCAGATGCCAACAACACTTTTCTGTCGCCTTGTGGGTAAATGGCTGGGTTTAAACTGGGGTTTCTGGCTAGTGGGGTGAGTAGGGTGGAAGAAGCGGGTGTTCGAAAGGAGAGAGAGAGAGAGAGAGAGAGAGAGAGAGAGAGAGAGAGAGAGAGAGAGTCCAGTTCTCCTTAGGTGAAACCGGGCCTCATTTATTAAAGACGACTCTAGCTGTCGCGCTAATGGTTGGCATAAGGTCCTTCGTTTGTACGCGAGAGTAAACATGACAAATGGGCCCGAGTTTGGCTTGATTAAGGATGAAAAAGGGATCCATCTTAGCCAAATCTGAAAACCCCATCTCCTATAGAACAGAGGAGCTACCCCCCCCCAACACGGCAACCCTGCTTTCCGGCCAAAGAACTAACCCCCCCTCCCCCGCAAAAAAACCCCAACCCACTCATCCTTCTTTGTTTCTTCTCCCCTCGTATAAATAGTGGTCCCAGTTCACCCACCCACTAGTCCCCTCCCCCCATACGCCCCCATGTTTCTCCCTCAGGAACAGGAAAACTACCAGGCCTCCCTCCCTTTCACACATCAGTTCTTAAGCACACAGATCTGCACACACACACACGTACGCACGCACACACACACACTCGCGGGCCGCCACGCTCAAAGGCCAGTTATAGGGTGGTGGTGGTCGGGGTGGCGCTGGGGTTTGGGGTTGGTCCATTGGTTCGGTCCTGGGCACCTCCTCCCGCGCCTTGCGCCGAGAGGCTGGCTGCAGAATTGGAACGGATCTTAGTATTGGGCAACTTGTGGTCTTTTTTCCATTTCATCCTCCTGTTTTGAAACCATATCTTGATCTGGCGCTCGGACAGGCAAAGCGAGTGGGCGATTTCCACCCTCCGCCTCCGGGTGAGGTAGCGGTTGTAGTGGAATTCCTTCTCCAGCTCCAAGACTTGCTGCCTGGTATATGCTGTTCTGGAACGCTTCGGCTCCCCTCCCGCGTAGTTGGGGTTGACTGAATGTAGAAACACAAAAGGAGGAGTGGGGCAGGGGAGAGAGAAAGAGAGCAGGAACAGGGAGGGGAGCAGGGTTGGGGGGGGGAGAGGAGATGGTGGGGAGCGTTACTCTTCTTCTGCCCCTTTAAAACGAAACAGAAACCACGACCTTCTCTTGGAAAAAAAGGCTCCTGGAAGACGCCACAACCCTTTACAAAACAAGTCCCCCAAACCACACCCCTCCCCCAGCGACGCTCTAAGAGCCTGGATATTTACCTCCTACTCGGAAAGGAGACCCGTGGGAAGGAAGTCCCACGGAGCTTAACCGTGTTTGCTCCCATCTAAACGATCATAGGAATGAGTCCCATCAAACTCAGTGGGACTGTAAGTCTCTAATATCTATCCACACAGGAGGGGAGCTCAGCGGGGCTTACCTCTGGGTAAAGAGGCATAGGATTGGACTGCCCGAATGCCAGCCATTCCTGTGGGTGTATCCAGAGTTTACTTTTAGAACTTTGAGGGTTACACAAGGTTGATTCTGATCGCTTGAACGAGTGTCTCCCTGTCTGACCTTTCCTCTCACCCAGGGTCTCCCAATGCACCCCATTCACTGCCTAAATCTTCGCGTCTACCTTCCTGCTTCGTTGCATCTATGTTAAGCCTTACACAGCTCTTTTAAAAAAACACAAAGCAACCACTAATCTATTAAAAGCCAGGCTGTTCTCCTGGTCCAGAGGTCGCCTAAGTCCTCCAAGCTTTCAAACAGCTGCGCTTAAACGGCAGTGTAGAGTAATCCCATTGGAATCATTCTGATTACTCCAGAGGATAGATCACAGTGTTAGGTGAGAAAGGACGAGAGTGATAGCGAGACGAGAAGGGGGTTGCATTCAGTTATGAACCCTAGCATCACGTAACAGCCCTGCACTCCGTTTTACAGCCTCTAAGTGTTACTAGCCTTTGGGTAACTAAATGTGAAGAGACGGAAGGAAGGCCGAATGCATATATGCGTATCAGAACCCTTATAATGCATTAGTCTTGAGTGCGAAATAGATCTACAACTTGCTCTGCAGTTCCGTTCAGCCTTAATGCTTGGGTTGAACTAAATACAGTCAAATCGCTGTCGCTAAATAGGCATAAATTCAAATACACCGACTCAAGCGTCTTGAGGATCGAGCTAGCGAGCTGCCTAAGGCTCCTGCACGTGTACGAAGGAGTTGCCTGTGCACCTCAAAGTTCTATAAAGTTTGCCCCACATGTAAGACAAACAAACCCCTCGATCGTAAGACAAGCAACCTTCTTTTCCCCCTCTGGGAAGTCATTCCCATTGAAACCCACGAGACATCCTTCTCTGAAACGTTGCTCTGAAGGGACCATCTTAAAACAAACACCCCCCCGCAACCCCCAGCCTTGGAGAAAGGCAAAGTAGAAGTTTGCTGAAACTCTCTACTTCAATACAATTTAAGCCGACAATGAAAATAAAAGACCCCGTACCTCCTTCAAACTTTTCCTGGGGAACGTTCTCCAGTGGAAGGAAAGGAAGAAAAGAATAAAGGACGGGGTGGGGGGGTGGGGAGGAAGGAAGGGAAAGAAAGAAACTGGAGGAGGATGTTAACAGGGACTTCAAAGGCAGTTGGCCAAGAAGAGCAATAAAAATTTATGGAGGATGTAATTATAGCGCTCTGCAAACAGGGAGACCATAAATCTCCAAGGGGAATGGTTCTTTTACAACGGGGGCAATAAGCTTTTCTCTCTCTCTCTCTCTCTTCTTCTTCTTCCCAACAAGACTTTGAGGTGCAGGTTAGTATAAAGCGAACGGCACTTTAAGGTTCACTTACCCGTGCTAACATGAACCTTCTTCATCCAAGGATAAACTACCGGTTCTTTGCAAGAGGACGGGCTTTGGTTGAGAGAGTTTTGGCTACAGGAAGGCGGTGGGCTTGGCGTGATGGATTCGCAAGTGTGGTTTGATTCGGAGAGATGGTTTTGAAGTCCAGCTGGAGCATGGACACGCTGGCTCCTGGGAGACAGGACCGATGCCGGGTGCCCAGAGCCCTGACATGGAGGATAGGATGGTTGGTTACAGGCGGACCGCGCTGGGTACAACGCCTCGGGTTGAAAAGAGTTCTCCTCTCGCCTCTGGCCGCCGAAATATTCCGGAGAATGACTGGGAAGGTAATCGTGCTGGGAATATTCTTCGCATGGTGGGAATTTGGGGTCCACATAGTTGGAGTTGATCAAGAACGAACTCATGGCCATTAATTTTGGAATTGCAAAAGGGCGCGCGCGCGCCGGCACGCACACTCCCGCTCACTCACACACACGCACACCCCAAAAAATATACTAAAATTTATTCCTATTTCTTTCGGGGCCCCCTCCCCTTCCCCCTTCTCCCTTCCTTCCCCTCCCCTTCTCACTCGTTTTCCTGTTTCGAAGAGCCCTCCTACTTTTGCCGTCAACTGAACAAAGTTAGATGTCCATGTGACCCCAGGAACCAATGGAGAGGTTTGCCTGGGATTCCCGGATAAGGAAATAATCAAGAAGGGGGGAAGGAGGGGGGAGGACGCTTTTAGCCTTTCCGTTGCCAGCACATAGTCAACTTGGAAGCAGGTTGTTTTAAAGTAAATTAGACTTAACTTTACATATAAATGCACTCAGGAACCTAGGTGGGACTCCGCATTGCGGAACAGTTATCCTTATTTACTTTTTAAATATCAGGATTTACATAATTTCATATCCCGAAGAAATCTATCATCCCATAGCCAAGAAGGCACCACAAAATCCAAGTGCCCCCACCCGGTGCATTGACTGAATTAAAATCACTGTCGACTCTGGCGAGCGTGCATGTGAGAGTGTACACACACGGTTCCCCATGGCAGAGTTTGCCTCGAAGTAAAAAAGCAAAATAACAACACATGCAGTCTGAACAAATAGGAGACGCGGAGGAAAGGAAATATTGTCCTCGGTTTATGATGCATTAATCTTCTAGCTCCTGCCTAAATTTTGGTGATAGAGCCCGGCCGGTGGCAAAGATAGATAGAGCTCGTTTGAGATCGATAGAAACGCCATTAACTAATTCGGGTTACCCATCCCTTTAAAAGACAGGTTCTGGTTTAGACTGGTTCTCCCCCCACCCCGGTCAGGAGGAGAAAATATATTTTTAAAAGCGTGGAGACAGAGGAGCAGGAAGAGTTAGAGTTAGTCTACAATAGGATGGATAAAACAAAATCCAGTTGCATAAATAGCTTTTTAAAGTAGTATTGCAGTAAGGGAACATACCCTGCATATTCCTATCTATCTCCTAAATGTCCGTTTTCATTAAGACGCAATGTATCCACCCCTTTTGGAAGCCCTCGGGGCAGGGACCTGTCTCTTCTGAGTGCTGAGTGGCGCCTGCGCACAGATGGCACCAAACAGGTAATCTTTAGAGACCTGTTTTCTCTCAGCCCTATTTACAGAAAGGCATGGTTCTAGAACAATTTCTGCAAGCATATTGAGCACAGAAGGGAAGAACTGTTCTGTTTCTCCCTGTGAATTTCCTGTTTCGCAGAAGATACCCGATAATTTGAATCAACCTGTCTGGATGCTTAAAAGATGGGGGCGGGGCGGGGGGACCCACTGGCATTAAAACAACACACCACCAACACGGAATAGTCCTTGAAGGGAAAGTCTTTTAACGATTTGCTTCGTCCTTTTTTCCTCCCTTTCTTTTCCTCCTTCTTCGTCTTGAGGGATGCGTTCCGTAGCGTTTGTGTCAACTACATATTCCCCTAGATGCGAATTTGTGACGCAGCTTCTTTTACACAAATTCGGATCTACAGGGTACATACAGAAGACAGAGAGAGATATTCTCCTTTGAGTTTGGCTAGAAGTCTTCCGCTTTGGCTTACAGCGAAGAGGAAAAGTGGGCGAAATAAAAGAAAATAAAAAAAAAACAAATAATCCGTTTTTCAGGAGGAAGGTATGTCTGGAAATATTTGCTTGCAACACGCGTCGCAAAATCGAGTGGTTGTTAGCCCAACTCTGTCGCGTAATCCACTGTTGCTTCTTCCTCCGCAGAAGGAATACTGTTGCAGAAAGGTAGTCCAGAAAAGTTGGGAGGGAAGGAAGGAAAGAAGGAAAGTCTGTTGGAGGATCTAAGCAGAAACAAAGTCACTCCCAATCCACTTCAGTGAGATTTATCTTTTAATTAGAACTAAAACGACCCTGTTCGCGCGATTTCGTTGTAATAAGGAATAACATTAGGCTTATTCCGATAATTTGGTTGTCTAACACACATTTACCCAGGGGTAAGTCCCACTGAACGCAATGGGGCTTAACTCTGAGTAGGCACGTATATGATTTTATTGGAGGGAGGGAGATCTTAAAAAAAATACAAATATAAACAGGAAAACAGGGTGTGGCTCTCCCCCAACACACATAGGGCAATTCCATCCCTTTTCACCCTAGGGAAGAGGAATGGGGGAGGATCAAAGGAATTTCATTTCCGAAAAAAGGGGGATATAAAGCAATAAAATATGCAGTTTGTGTAAGTAATGAACCTTTTGCGGCAGGAAGTCGGGAGCAGCGCGGTTCTATGTAGATAGCTGTTAAGGCTGCTGGTCTGGAAAAATGAGACGCGTTGGAATTCGTGTTGCGGTTTTTTTTAAAAATTAAAGAAAGGAAGCGGTCCCAATATTATCTTAGTGTAGGAATAGGGAATCCTTCGGGTTACACATAATTCTTCGTCAGGTAGAACAGTTTGTTCATTATATACTCAGCAGTTGACACTGGACTACCTATGAGGTGTCTTCACGCTGGATGAAACTGTATCAGAGCAGAGCAATAGATTATGGCCCTATTAGTGAGGACACTTCGTTTCTCCTATGTCTCGAATATACTACCATAGGCAAGAGGTTATTGGTATTACTGTTTTAAACCGTTTAGCCGGGGAGCGAAGGAGGAAGAAACGCACGTGCTTCGAGACCAGCCTCCCACATGAGTCAAAAAATAGTTTGGAAAAAGTCAAAGCAGCAACTCAGACATTCTTCTTGTTGTCCCCCTTCCTCCCCCAAACAACCAAACCCGTGGCACGAAGGCTGCGTTAATTCATGTCTCTACACCCGCTGCCTACAACCACAGATGCTGGTTAGATAACAGACAAGGCGTTTGTGTTTTAATTCATAATGTCATATTAAGCCTATACCCCCGAGAGTCCATGCCACTGGAATCCAAATCTCCAACTTCCAGGTAATGGACCGTGCGAGCACACCCTCCAGCACCGAAGGCATCAGTTTTCCAACACGGGCATCCCGAACCTGAACGTATTTACATGGAAGTAAGAGCTGCTGGTTTCAATAGGGCTTGCTTTCAAGTCAGTAACGAGGTTCCCGGGATTCAACCACCCCCACCTCCCATGCATTTCACCAGGTCACCGTTTAATTCAACTAATATGTCGCAACTTATTTGTAAAGTGCGCCACCCCGGTCGGGCGAGGGGAACCCATAACTGCCCCGGTTGTTTAAGTGGGGCTAATATATTGTCGGGCGACAACACAGGAAATTCGGGATCGCAGCTTCAGATTTGTCTACTAAGAACAGAGACAAGTCCGACTTGAAAGCACACCATACTCGGAATAATTTGTTTCAGTGGGAATCATTACCAAATTTAGGACTAAGGGCACTTTTCCAGAGTTGCAGGCCAACTCCAGTGCGCTGAGAGAAAGAGAAAGAACTTTCCTTCCACGAAGCCTACCAGACACAAAGGTATACCAGTTATACACCTTTGAGACATCCGCTCTCCTCTTTCTCCTGACCTTGATCGCTTCCATTTTTCATTTCCCCCGCCCTCTCCTGTTTCATCTGTATTCCATCCAGTCTTGTCTCAAGACATGGGTTTTTCGGGAAAACGAATAGCTAGGCCTACTCTTTTATTTATATATATATTTTTTTTTATTTAAAGCGCCACCGCCACTTTTTTAGAATGCCTTGCGCAAATAGACAAAGGGGGGTTTCATCCTAGTATCACCAGCACCCCTAGCGTCTAGCAGAAATGTTCGATTCTTTCCACCCTCTCCAAAAGTCCCCCCCCCGCGCACCACGCACACACAGAGGCATGGACAACAGCCTGCTGTCCCCAAATCAAAAGATACACCTCCCCCCCCCCGACCCTCCCAACCATCCGTGTTTTGTTTTGGTCACTCTCGATTGCTCTAATAAAAACGTCTCAACTTTTCGGAAGTTTGCAAAGACAGATTTAGCTCAGGCGTTCTCTGCATTTCAAAGAGGCAAGTTAATGAAGCCCTAAAACGACAGAGTTTCCAAGCAGATGGGACCCACAATACATTGTTTGCATACTACAATAAAGTTCAAACAGATAGGAAAGGACGACTGGGCAATTGCTTGCCACAGAGGGTGCACACCTTTCGGACACTACTCGGGTGTCCCAGTAATGTGTGTGTCCCTGTGTCCCGTTCCCCCCATGCCCGCACAACATCAAACTCAAAGCACCTGCCAATATATGCAAATATTATTTTACTACTAAGAACTGTTATCTTCTGGCTACCTTGGGTATGATCACCGCGTGAATCCGGTTCCTCGCAATGAGGGGGGAGGGGGCTTGTGCAGGAGAACTTCCCTCTCCCCTCTCTATTACTTTCAGGACCCCCATCTAGGTAACTGCTGAGCCTGCCTCAGCGTTCAAGGCTGCTTTTCTGCACGTCGACCTAGCAGATCAGCTCCAGTTTACTACGGATACACTTACTTCCGAGGAAATGCGTTAGGGATCGAGCCTCTTTTTTTTGCAGTCACAGCACCCTTCTCTGGATTGAGAGCAAAAAAAGCCTGGAGGTCTTCTCCTTCAACTCCTATACCTCCCCTCCCCACACACTTTCCCCAAGGTACAAAAACTGAAGCGTTTACAACCCCCCTCCCCTTGTTCGCGCAGTTAAAAATAATCATCCCGTGCAAGACAGGATACAAAACGCAGCAGCCTTTCCCAAGCGGTCCAGCCACAACCACAATAAAAAGAACCCGAAACACCAACCGGAAAACTGGATCCTTCCGTCGTATCTCTCCTTCCTCCATGTCAAAGATTATTTTTTTTCCACGATAGGAAATCTCTTCCTTTTCCTTTCCTCCCCCTCCCACTGCGATTGCCTTTTAAAGCCTAAGGAATAGCTGGCTACCAGCTTGCAGGGAGCCGTAGGCCTAACTGAGCGTTTTCGGTTCGGATACCCGCAAGTTTTCGTATTAATCTCCATACTTTGTCAGTCTTTGTTAAACAGCTAGGCGTGTCCCCAGCGCCTCCAACATTTTAATATTTGTTAGACGCGCTGACCTGAGTTTCACCCCACTCCGGGGCTCTCCCTCTTGCATTTTCTATAATACGCTTGCATAGTTCTCTCGGTCATATTGAATTTTACCCAGGTCATTACTTTGGAGGGGTGGGGGAAATGCCACGGCAAGGAATTTTAATGCAGGCTTTCCTCTCTGTAGCGCCTGCGACTTTTTTCAGTCTCTTTGTAAGTTGCTTTTTGGCCAGTAGATGCTTATGCAAAAGAGAAATGTGCGAGGACATATGCGCGCGCGTGTGCAGATAGATAGATGAATTTACGAATATGTGCACGTCACTTGAGCCTGTTTATGCGTGCATCTAGATATGCATTAAATAAACACATGCATAAATTATTGTTCAGCTGATGTGCCCCCCCTTTTTTTTGGCTTCGGGACCAAAACTTTTTTCCTTCCAAATTCAAACTTAAACACACTTTCCTCACACATTCATAGGATCTATTCCCTCCCACCGGAAAAAAAGAAAAGAAACAACGACCACTGAATAAAACACAATGCGGAGAAATGATACGGGGATTCAAAGGGGGAGGGAGGGAAAAAAGTACATGTTCCGAAATCTCTGTGCCTTTTCCCATCACGAGCAAAACTGCGGTTGAATGTCACCTACGCTTGTGTCATATATTCCCCCTCCCTTCTCCCAGTTAAAGTAATTCCGGAAGGAAATTTGTTGGGAAGAAACTCTACCTTTGAAGCCACCAGAGGTGTTACCCTAACTCATCAAAGGTCTAGCTTCAAGAATGTAATGGATTGTAAAGGCTTGAGCTTTCCAGGCCCGTAGCTGCCTATTGTTCGATGTATGTATTGTTCACCATCTATTCTACAGGTACACACACACACACACACACACACACACACACACACACACACGGTGTGCTGTAGAGCAGGTTACCTGCTGCACTTGACAGAGGCATGGCATGAGAAGTCTATCGAAAAGTCAATTGGCATTAAATTATTTCTATTAATAACTCATTACATGGATTGTCTTGGGTGGGGGGCGGACTCGTAGAAATAACCTCTCGCTCTCATTTTCGCCACGAACGGGTTTTAAAGCTCGTCCAATAGCAGCTTATCCCCTTGTTCTCTCGGATTCTTTATCCCTGACGGCTCTTCCTATAGAGGGCTGGGCTATGGTGGCAAATTGACTCTTAAACGGTAAGATACACGGGGATCTGTACTGGGAGCAAAGGAAGCGTGTGCTTGTGTGAGCCATGAAAATTCATACCGAGATGATTTTAACCTTCTGAAAACAAACGGAGTTGTTACCCACTCACATTCCCCCTCCCTTATTATTGCACAAACCTGGAGCGGTGATGACTGCGCTTCAGAGATAACTGTAGTAATTAGAGAAGCCTAGAGATGGATCGCCCAAGTTACGCTTAAAATGTAGCCCGTTTATAGTGATCTTTCATGAATCAAAAAAAGCCTCAAGAGTTCGTTACAATTAACCTGTGTTGCTTTATGGGAGAGTACGCACGCAAATACACACCTTGAAATGCTAATAT